TTTTCACACTACGACAGGTCCTGGAACACAGACACACATTTAGGCGTCCTACAGTAGTTGTTTTCCTGGACCTAAGAGCGGTATTTGACTCAGTGGATCGTGAGGTTCTGTGGCAGTGTCTGTCATTGAAAGGTATACCAAAGAAGTACATTAACCTTATACAAGCACTCTACTCGAACACCACTGGTCGGGTGAGAGCATATGGCGAACTGTCATCTGAATTCTCTACATCAAGTGGTGTCCGTCAGGGCTGTCAACTCTCTCCATTCTTGTTCAACTTTGTCGTAGACATCCTCTTAGAGTTAACATTAAGCTCGTCAGATTTTTCAGGGGTTGACCTTCTACCAGGAAAGTCGCTTACTGATCTAGAATATGCCGATGACATAGCTCTATTCGGCGAAGACGCTGACAAAATGCAGAGTCTTCTGACTACCATAAGCAACAATGCGAGCATGTTCGGGATACGGTTTTCCCCCTCGAAATGCAAAATGTTGCTTCAAGACTGGGTTGCATTGGCACCTGAACTAGTGATAGGGAGTGAAGTAGTCGAGCGTGTTGATCACTTCACTTATCTTGGTAGTCTCATCAGTGCTGACGGTCTGGTGACTGACGAAATCTCAGCTCGGATACAGAAGGCTCGATTGGCTTTTGCCAACCTGCGTCACTTATGGCGTAGGCGTGATATCCGTTCGCTAACCAAAGGACGAGTGTACTGCGCAGCAGTTCGTTCCGTTCTCTTATATGGCTGTGAAACATGGCCGTTAAGAGTAGAAGATGTTCGTAGGTTACTAGTATTCGATCATAGATGTTTAAGAAGCATTGCTCGTATATCGTGGGACAGCCGAGTAAGCAATGCTGTCGTTAGGAAACGAGTACTAGGTAAGGATGGCAGATCAATAGATGAAGTGGTGAAACTTCATCAGTTGAGGTGGTTGGGACATGTGTTACGTATGGCTAACCACCGACTGCCCCGACGAGCTATGTTTTGTGGTGTAGGAGTAGGTTGGAAGAATGTTAGGGGCGGCCAGACCAAAACATGGCAGAAATCCATGAACTTACTGACAAGTGGACTGAGTCATGTTGGTAGATGTAGACTACCTGGTTGGTGTCCGCGAGATGAAAGTCATCAATGGTTAGAGACCTTGAACGACATGGCTCAAAATCGTTTGCAATGGCGCAGGTGCATCCACTCTTTGAGCTCTCTCAAATCCTAATCTTCTGGATTAGCCAGCACCTCTACATTTGTCTTTCTAACCTTATCTCACTGAATTATACTTCTTGAATAATATCTTCTAACCCTAGTCTTCTTTATTAACATTAATACCTCTACTATCTTTATCACTATGGGATTTGATTTGACATTTGCGTCTCTGTGCTAATAATGTGGTATGGCAACATGAACTTATGTACATACGTACGAAGTTCTACGTTGCAACTGACTGTGACGCTTCAATTGCTTCAGAGGGAGGTGTTAGGATATTCATCCAATATCCTAAGAGAATTATTGGTCAATTCCTGTTGGTCGATTTCTGTTGGTCAAAATTATGGTCGTTTTAACTGTCAAAGTCAAATACTTCAATGTTGTCTCTTATTGGTCATCGGGACTGTCAATATCATTTCAAATGTAACTTCCTATTGGTCGTGTTAACTGTCAATGCCACCGAATTCGATGCTGTTTCCTATTCGACCAAAATGTATAAATAAGCATTATGTGTAACTTTTTATGACCACGACCAGGACCAGGGCTAGGTCCCGGATCCCGATTCTCTCCTGGATTCGGACCTCGTACTTTCTGGATGCTTGTAGAATACATGTTCTACTTCATATCATGTCTTCTTATTTTTACTCAATATGGGGGTTGAGATAATCGGATTTAAATAGTATGTCGTGTCACCGGATCCTCAATCCTCGCTCTCGTTTTTCCAACTTGGTAAACTCGTAATAGTTCAAGCATATCAAGTTGACGTGTTTACGTGTAGGCGGAGCAGGTATATATTAATTAAATCATTCGTCGAAACTGCAGTCAAATCGTGGGCCACTCTAACACAGTCACTATAAAAATAATGAATTCTTCCTTTACTAATTAATTTTCACATAAATCAATCTTTAACGTTTCAATAATTTCTGATCATCATGATCATTTTATTTTATTTTATTTTATTTTACTGTTTTGATATTAAGGAATATTTTAAATATTCAACTTATTCCTTCAATGACTTTAATTCCGCCTAATTCCTATAAAGTGATTGTTTTTCAATGTGAAATGAATCTATCGTATGCTGAGATTCGAAAAAAAATGGCCATTCGAAATGATGAAGTTACATTTCAAGGATTAGAGATTTTATCATTGAATAAACGATCAGAATATGAATTGGTAAGCACATTATTTAATATATATATATTTGTATATACATGTTCAAAGATTGTATTCGTTATCAGAATATTGCATTGTAGACTGCTATATACTACTACTACTACTACCTCATCCCGAATATGCTTGCATTGTTCTGGATGCGGTTTTCCCCCTTGAAATGCAAAATGTTGCTTCAAGATTGGTTTGCATCAGCTCCTGAACTAGTGATAAGGAGTGAAGAAGTAGTCGAACGTGTAGACTGCTTCACGTATCTGGGGAGTCTCATCAGTGCTGATAGCCTGGTGACTGACGAAATCTCATCTCGGATACAGAAGGCGCGATTGGCTTTTGCCAACCTGAGTCACTTATGGCGCAGGCGAGATATCCGTTTGCAGGCTAAAGGACGAGTGTACTGTGCACCGGTTCGCTCCGTCTTACTTTATGGCTGTGAAACATGGCAAGTCAGGGTAGAAGATATTCGTAGGTTACTGGTTTTCGATCATAGGTGTCTTCGAAGCATTGCCTGTATATTATGGGACACCCGAGTGAGCAACGCTGTTATTAGGACACGGGTGCTAGGTAAGAATGGCAGATCAACAGTTGAAGTAATGAAACTTCATCAATTGAGGTGGTGGGGGCACGTGTTGCGTATGCCTAACCACCGATTGCCTCATCGAGCTAGGGGCGGCCTGACTCAAACATGGCAGAAATCCATGAAGTCATTGACGAGTGGACTGAGTCATGTCGATAGTTGTCGACTACCTGGTTAGGGTCCGCGAGATGATAATAATCGATGATTAGAGACGTTGAATGAAATGGCGCAAAACCGGCGCAGGTGCATTTATTCTTTGTGTTGTCGCAAATCCTAATCTTCTGGATTCGTCAACACCTCTAGTTTTGTCTTTCTAAACTTATCTCACTGAATCATACTTCTCGAATAATATCTTCTAATTGTAACCTCTCCGATTACTTCTAATACCTTTACTGCCTCTACTACTAGTATCGGATTTGAATTGACAATTATATCTCTGTGCTGATGTGGTATGGCGACATGAACTGATGTACTTACGTACGAAGTTCTACGTTGCATCTGACTGACTGACTGCCTTTCAATTATCCTTAAATGTTATTCATTCTTTCCATGTCCGTCTTCAATTTTCAGGGCAGTTCGTTCCTTGATCTACCATTTCACCTTTTGCCATGAAGGTTGCATGTTACGGTTAGCCTCACGATACAGTTTTGTGATTCCTTCACTGTGTATCCTACTCACCTCCACCGCGTTTTGTTAATTTTTTCCTCAGATGGAAGTAGATATGTTCTCTGCCACAGCAGGTTGATGCTGATGATGTCCAGCCAACTGATCCGATAATAATATTATCTGGTACAAAACCTGGATTTTAGAAATCAGTTCGATTATAATTTTAATGTTCCATGGAACATCACTCTACTACAGAAAAAGACAATCTATTTGGTCAAAAGTGTTTCAAATATTCTTATCAACAAAAATCAACCATTCTAATAATTTATGGTTGATTGCATATTATTTTATTTTCACAATTATGTATACCGAAATCTTGTTATCATAAAAATCTTTTCAAATAACTACAGTTGTCTAGAGGTTTGGCGTTTGCGCCAAAGACTTAAGGTTCTGAGTTCGAATCCTGAGGGTTGCGGGAGTCTTGGATGCGCATAACGGGACGACACGGCCATCCGATGCTTCTAGATTTCTAGTAGTGGTTCAACATTGATTGATCCGTGATTTCACAAAGTTTTCAAATAAAGTAACAACAGAATACTATGCATAACTATTATGCCACTGAGAAAGACTATGGCATATAAAACAGACAAGACGTTTTTCGTTAATATTATTGATTAATTAGGCCGTGCAAGTGTAGTTAGTTAGCTATCCTATGTGTTAGTTCTCACTTGGAAGATCTTTGAAGAGATCGAACAGTATAATTCAAGCAAAAAACCTTGGTTGTCTGAATGTTGCCATTCATTTCTTTGACTATGAATTATCAGTCTCTTTTAGCGAATATGTTATTTTAGAGTGAACATATCAACTGTAAGGCATAGCTGATGAGTCCCAAGTACGATGAAATGCGCGTCATAGGTTTCTACCACTATCCACCATCCATCTTAGTTTCTAAATGCTTGTGACTTAAAGAATAAAATGATTTTACTCATCTTTTTCATTGTGAATTTCAAACGAAAATGAAAACGTTTCAGTATAAATAACCGGTCACAACATAATCAATAATCTTCTCACAAATGATTTGTCTGACACTGATAATAATTTTTATAGAAGTTAGGATATGAAACTAGTATGTTCTTTTTTTAACAAAGCGTTCTCTAACTGAAAATATCAACGCCTTTACTTTGTACTTTTATTTATGGTCGACGAAGTTGCCTAACCATCGACTACCTCATTTTGTAATGTAGGAGTAGGCTTGAAGAAAGCTAGGGGCGGCCAAAACAAAACATGGTACAAATCGATGAAGCCACTGACAAGTGGACTGAGTCATGTTCGTGAGTGTAGACTACCTGTTGGGGGTCCATGAGACGATAGTAACCGATAATTAGAGACCTTGAATGACGTGACTCACAATCGATTCCAATGGGGCCGTTGCATCTATTCCCTGTGTTCTCTCAAAGTCCAATCTCCTGAATTCCTTTTAATCGTTCCTATCTCACTAATCATTTCTTTCATTGGGTTATACTTCTCCAATCATATGTCCAATCCCTAATTCTCAAGACTTCAGCTAATGCTGGTATGACCTTCTATTTGAATTTACATTCGCATCCCAGTGTGCTAATGTGGTCTGCCAACCTGAACTGATATACGTACGTACGTACGTACGTAACAAGTTCAACGGTGTAGCCGACTTCCTAATTAGTCACCCTTTTTCTCCTTTCGAATAGATACATCAACAACATAACTTTGCTTCTGATTTCTTTCTTAATCATGCTAACGTTGTCATTTTTTTTGTTTACTGTGTATGATTAATTTAGAAAATTCCAATAGAAATCAATTTTGCTACAGCAAATATCACACTAGAAAATAATGGTGAACTTTATTTTATACCAACTCATGTTGGTTCATTTACACAAAAAGAATTCAATATTAGAAATAGTTCACCTTATCAAGTAGAGTAAGTTTTTCAATCAACGTTTTGATGTGATACATACTGCGTGTGCTTGTTAACACTAAATTATAGATCATAAGTGTTAAATAGGTTGAGTTACAACGTTACACTGTCTTATGACGACCAATCAAGATCGAGGCTGTCATCTTCCATCTGTCTGTCTTCTATTGATTAAAACACTCTGATCGCGAGATGAGTCCGAATCATATACTACTGACTTCGTTCATAAATTCAGTGTGACTCTCTACTGCATATTCACTGCTTACTACTTAAAAGCTCCATTATAAGTAATACACACCTCAATAATACTAAATCCATTTGGTAATGCCAATGAAGAAATTTTGAGATTTGATAAAATCAGGCCAATTTGGAGTCGTTAGAGAGAAAGGAAGAGCAAATAAGTCACTTAAAAACTTACCAAATATGAACGCGAAAGCTTTAAAACTCCTATTTTTGCATCAAGCGGCAATTTTAATGGAGGCGTTAGATTCAGTATCTGGCTTACTACTTTAGTGGCTGCTTTGAACTCGTAGCAGGGCTCATCAGCTTTGGTAGCTGTTGGGGATGTTAGATCCCCAGAACTCGATTGATAAATGCCTTATTTTGGATTTCACGTTTGCGAGCATGGGCTGATCAGTTGATCTTGAGATTTCATTTTCCACCACGAAACTCCTTGGCTGTGATTGGCTTCTGTGTATTTCAGTGTGCTATTTTCGCAACTGTCCCAAGGAAGTTTCTATGATGTATCAATAAACGAGAGTTGTGTGCTTGATTGTGTATTGTGATTGCTGGGTGTTTGTAGAATATACTTTATACGCTTACCAAGTTTTCTGTTTTGCAGTTTGGTTATCAATGTAGCCTACTTGGACGCTGGTAATTTTCTCGTTCGCATTTATCGACTAAGGTGAACTTGTAATAGCTTCAAGCGTACCAAGTGATGAACATAACAGTAGACCTCGATATGACTGTATATTTACGACAAGTTGAATATGCTGTGAAATAGAACGTCCCCCTTCAGTTTCCGTATGACATTCTTGGGCGAAACCCGTTTGTGCGACTGCGTTATTTAGAAGCCAAATACAGGTTTGTGGATGAACTTATTTCATGCGATCGTTTGCTCTGACAGACTTGAGAATATCGAGCGCTGTAGCAAAGTGAAGCAAAGGGGAGTAGGCGAGTGAGCTCAAGGTTTCCTATGAAATAGGAGGCTCGTTCTCAAGGAACTCTATAATGCATAACGCCGTTGTTAATACTGTAGTGAAGGAGAACACAGGTGAGGGCAACCGAATTGTATTTAACGGAAATACAGAGTTACTCAGTAAAATAGGAAAACCATATCGTAACCGTTCATTTGCAAATCTTCAATCCATCATCAATCTGTTGTCTGACATTTCACGATTCATGCGTCTCATACAAATTCCATTGTGTTCCAACTCTTCCTTTCTTGATCTTCCCCCATCTTCTGCTGCCAGACATTACGTTTACACTCGCGTCATACACTACTTAAAGGTAGCACGCACCACAATACAAATGGGTTTGACAGTTATGCGGTGGAACAGGAAAAGATTATATTCTAAATCGCAAACTTAAATAGAAATGAGAAGCCGAAGGCGAAACGAAGGCCAAATAGATACATCGTTAGTTTCTTTATGACATGAGAAGCTTCTGGATAGTAAGTAATTCACATGATCGACTGGATTAGATTTAGCCAATCAGCATGCAGCTAACAACATGAGAATTGTCTATCCTGTTCTCCAAGAATCGATCAGGCGCTGATTATTGGATTAGGAAATTAACCAATCAGCACGCAGCAACTTAGTCATGCTCTAATTCCGTCTATATCCCACCAACACCACATTAGCACAGTGACGCAATGGTCAGTCCACATCCCATAGTGATAGAGAATAATAGTTCATTGTTTAGAATATATACTATGTAACTAACTATCTTTGAATGACTTATTGTATCCCAGGAGTTAATTTCTTGTCTATTTCTAAATATATATATATTTGTTTTATTAAAGATTTTGTTGGGAGATTAACTCAGACGATAAAACGGAATTGGAAGTTTATCCAATGAAAGGAATTCTATTACCATATGAAATACAAGTATGTCACTATTAAGAATATTACTTTGTCCACTAATTTTATTCAAATATTCACTTGTTTTCATTTTTATTACTGGAAAATAATTTCTTTTTTGATCATTTTCAATTTTATATGATACTTTACTACTGCTTTTAATGTTATTCTGTTTGTTAGTATTGTGAAAATATTCATTTCTGTAAGTTTCATTGTTCATCATTTCAAAAATCATAATTAATCGTTGATTATGGAGTTGTAAAGATCGTTGAGTTTGAGTGAGCGCATAAATCTATTCAAGTAAGGACACCATCAATATCCTGGAAGCATTGCTTGGCTATTGTTTCCTGATATGGGACTTTGACATCAGTGCGCATGCACTACCCTCGCTCGCGGGAATTGAATCTGAGGTACTGCACAACCTCATTCATTGTCGCCAGTAGGTATCTGCTTCACACCCGACTGGGTTGAACTCGACTGGTCTTGGCTTATCACTAGAACTCCATGAATTTCCTCACAAACCTAGTCACTAGTGAGTACATATTATTGTTTCAGTTAGAGAGTTGTTGAAACTTTGTCAAATTTCATTGTTCACGCGCTATACTGAATATCCTAGGTTCGATTCCCACAAGCGAGGGTCGTGGATGTGCACTGATGATTGGTAGTCCTATATTCGTTAGAGTCGGCCATTTAGTGCTTCCAGGTTTCTGATGGTGGTTGGTCTAACAACGGTCAGTTTGTGATTTAATTCGCTTGCAAAATCGTTGCGTAAAGCTGTCGTAGCCTTATCAAGTTTAAATTGTTCTTCCTTCTTGTATTTTTTTCAGTCACAATTGTGGACATTTCATCCAACACAAATTATGAATCGTATGTTTAAACCACGTCTTATGTATTGGCGATGTGGTAAACAATTTCAAAATGGTTCTACGCATGACAATTTCAGTCAATATTCACATGAAATCAAACAAATCGAATTACGTGTAGTCACAATGTCTGGCAGCGTTCAATTATCCATTGATCCGGAGACAATCACTTGTCAACCATTACTGGTTAACACATCAGCCAGTTATAAGATTCATTTTCATAATCGCAGTATAGTAAGTGATATTAACAGGATTATCTGAGATCTATTTTAGAGTATCAGTTACTGACAAAGCGCAGCTCTTGTAAATGATACTTACTTATGCCCATTACCCACAATGGAGCATAGGCTGCCGACCAGTATTCGCCAGCCTAGTCTGTCCGATACCCGACCGTGGCTGCTACCTTGACGTGGTGGTCGGGCTTGCCTATCGTGATGATCCAACCGAGCTATACTGGCTGGAACATATGTTCCTGCAGGTCCTACCATGCCAGACAGGTCGATTGGAGAACGATGAGACTAAAAGCAGCTACCCAAGGTCTGAGGGCGAAGTCGTACTGCTGACTGCAGAGGGGTGTGACAGCAGTAAGGTGTTTCCCTTGGACAACCAGCATCTGCAGCGATGCTGCCTTCTCACAAGGAAGGAAGGGTTAGAAAAGGTCGACCCTAAAAATGTCACACCTCCCCTAACTCACGGATTTCCGTCTCCTTGGGTAAGGGTGCCCACTAGGGGCCTTTAAGAACGGAGCTAATCCTCTAAATACCTTTCATAAAAAGGCCGTGCGTGACCGGCCTCAAGCAGTTGTCCCTTGGACTCTGCGGTCACGCACCAACACTAATCCATCTTCCTTTTCAGCTTCCTCAAGAAACAACCTTCCACGGTGTGGGCAGCCGGGAAGTGACAACCGCCCTCATACCCATAACAGCACGCGAGACCAAATTGGTCAAAATCAAATCCTTCCTACACCCCCTAATGTCTCTCTTATCTCCACGACTAACTCTTCTTACATTCATTCATCACATTGCACAGCTAATGCAGACGATACGAGTTCGCGAAAGGTCGTTCCTGGTCTCCTTAAACCTCGCTCTAGACTACATGTTGGAGCATTTAATGTACGGACATTGTGTCAAATAGGGCAACAGGCTTCCTTAGCTATGACTTTAGAATCTCGTGCCATCGATGTATGCTGCGTCTCGGAAACGCGCATACAGGATCCGAGTCACGTCATACACTTGACCACACCATGTCAAAATAAAGAAGCAGCTCGATTTACTCTTCGTGTATCCGGTAGCCCTGATGCTGCTTCCAGGGGTCTTGCTGGCGTAGTCATAGCATTGAGTCGTAGGGCAGAACAATCTCTCCTTGACTGGATCCCTGTAGATAGTCGCTTGTGCGCTGTTCGACTAAACGGGACAGTAAGGACTCGGAAAGATAGGGACAATCGCCGTTGCCTCTTCATCGTATCTGCCTGTGCCCCCACTGAATGCAGTTCAGACGAGGTTAAGGATGAGTTTTACAGAAAGCTTTCGGACCTCCTCCAAAAAGCTAGGCGCTCTGATATAGTAATAATGGCTGGTGACTTTAAAGCTCAAGTAGGTAGACTAGGTGAAAAGGAAAGACATCTTGGTGGATGTTATGGTGTCGCGGCTCAGAGAACAGACAATGGTGACCGTCTGTTGCAAACATGCTCAGACAACCGCCTATTCTTAGCAAACACTAACTTTAGGCATAAGGAAAAGCATCTCTTGACCTGGCGACCTCCAAAGTCGTCTCAACGTTGGACTCAACTAGATCACATCGCCATCAGCCACCGACGGAGGGGTTCGATAGAGGACTGACGCTCGTTCTGGGGCACATGTTTGGATTCAGATCATGCCCTAGTGCGAGCGCGTATTTGTTTGAAGCTTACTGGACGTAGGAAAGACACCGTAAGAAAGCCTCTTAGGGTTTTGCTTAATGATAATAAGGCGAAAAATATATTTCAGGAACAACTAGAAAGACAGTTAGGCGACCATTTAAGCGATTCCCATCCGGAAGCAGGATGGAATGATATCAAAAAGGCTGTGGAAACAGCAGTGATATCTGCTAGTAAGGTTGACCATAAGGCTAGAATGAAACCGTGGATCTCAGTAGCATCCACCGATCTGATGGATGCCCGAAAACTCATCCCACCTGGCTCTGAGCATGATGAAGAACGAAGTCAACTTAGGCGCAGACTTATGAAAAGCCTACGTAACGATCGCGAGCAGTGGTGGGTGGCGAAAGCAAAAGCGATGGAAAAGGCAGCGGCGATCGGCAACAGTAGACAACTTTTCCGCCTTATTAAAGAAACTGGTATTAAGAACCCGAATGTGAGTGAGACTATCTCGGAAAAGGATGGTCTTATTATCCATTCTCAATCCAGGAGACTGGATCGATGGGCAGAACACTTTAGGGATCAGTTCAACTGGCCACGAGCCACTCTTCGGTTACCCACGATCTCCAGTCATCCTGAATGGCAAATCGACCTAAGTCCCCCTAGTCTTAATGAAGTTGAGAAAGCGTTAGGAAATCTGAAACGAGGACGAGCTGCAGGTCCTGATAGACTTACCCCTGAGATATTTAAGGATGGAGGTCCAGTTTTATCAGCTAGGTTGACTGAGATCTTAGGTAGAATCTGGGAACTGGACGCAATCCCATCCGACTGGTCTCAATCCTTGATTGTCCCAATCTACAAGAAAGGACAGAAGTCTTCTTGTGACAATCACAGGGGAATAAGCCTAACTAACATAGTATCTAAAATATTGGCCTCAATAATACTTCGACGCTTAACGAAAGCTCGTGAAGAGCAAACTCGGGAAAACCAATCTGGTTTTCGACCTGGACGTGGCTGTATAGACCACATTTTCACACTACGACAGGTCCTGGAACATAGACACGCATTTAGGCGTCCTACAGTAGTTGTTTTCCTGGACCTTAAGGCGGCATTTGACTCAGTGGATCGTGAGGTTCTGTGGCAGTGTCTGTCATTGAAAGGTGTACCACAGAAGTACATTAACCTTATACAAGCTCTTTACTCGAACACCACTGGTCGAGTGAGGGCTTATGGCGAACTGTCACCGGAATTCTCTACATCAAGTGGTGTCCGTCAGGGATGTCCACTTTCTCCATTCTTGTTCAATTTTATCATAGACATGCTCCTAGAACTTACCTTATCCTCGTCTGAATTTTCAGGAGTAGACCTTTTACCAGGTGGCTCGCTTATTGACTTAGAATATGCCGATGACATTGTCCTACTTGGTGAAGACGCTGACAAAATGCAGAGTCTTCTGACTACCCTAAGCAACAATGCAAGCATGTTCGGGATGCGGTTTTCCCCCTCGAAATGCAAAATGTTGCTTCAAGACTGGGTGTCATCGGCACCTGAACTAGTGATAGGGAGTGAAGTGGTCGAACGTGTAGACCGCTTCACCTATCTTGGGAGTCTCATCAGTGCTGATGGCCTGGTGACTGACGAAATCTCGGCACGGATACAGAAGGCTCGATTGACTTTTGCCAACCTGCGTCACTTATGGCGTAGACGAGATATCCGTTTGCTGACTAAAGGACGAGTGTACTGCGCAGTGGTTCGCTCTGTCTTACTTTATGGCTGTGAAACATGGCCAATGAGAGTAGAAGATACTCGACGGTTATTGGTTTTCGATCATAGGTGTCTTCGAAGCATTGCTCGTATATCGTGGGACACCCGAGTGAGCAACGCTGTTATTAGGAAACGGGTACTAGGTAAGAATGGCAGATCAATCGATGAAGTGGTGGAACTTCATCGGTTGAGGTGGTTGGGACACGTGTTGCGTATGCCTAACCACCGACTGCCTCGTCGAGCTTTGTTTTGTGGTGTAGGAATAGGTTGGAAGAAAGCTAGGGGCGGTCAAACCAAAACATGGCATAAATCCATGAAGTCATTGACGAGTGGACTTAGCCATGTCGGTAATTGTCGATTACCTGGTTGGGGTCCGCGAGATGATAATAATCGATGGTTAGAGACCTTGAATGACATGGCTCAAAATCGTTCGCAGTGGCGCCAGTGCATTTATTCTTTGTGTTCTCTCAAATCCTAATCTTCTGAGTTCTTCAACACCTCTAGCTTTTACTTTCTAAACTTATCTCATTGAATCACACTTCGTGAATAATATCTTCTAATTCTAACGTCTACGATTACTTCTAATACCTTTACTACCTCTTCTACTATTGGATTTGAATTGACAATTATATCTCTGTGCTGATGTGGTATGGCGACATGAACTGATGTACTTACGTACGAAGTTCTACGTTGCAACTGACTGACTGACTGACTGACTGTCCGATGGTTTCCTTTCCACTTCTGTTCAATTTTTGTTCATTCTTCTCAAGTCTGTTTCCATATCACTGCGTAGTGTGTTTTTAGGTCTTCCTATTTGTCTTTGACGTTGAGAGTTCGAAGTGAGGGCGCTTGTTTGGTGACTCAGTTAGGTGCTTTCCTCAATATATGTCCAATACACTTCCAGCGATTCTTCCTGATTTCTTCTTCCGTTGGAATCTGGCTTGTCTCTCTCACAGTAGGCTGTTGCTGATAGTGTCTAATCAAATGAATCAGAAGCATTTTGCATAGACAGCTGTTAATAAATACTTGTATCTTCTGGATGATGGTTTTAGTAGTTCTCCAAGTTTCAGTCCGATAAAGTAAAACTGTCTTGACATTCGTATTGAAAGTTCTGAATCTCGGGTTGGTTGATAGTTTTGTTTTGAGTAACAGACGGTGTTCAATTGTAGAAATGCAACCCTCTCCCTGCATTCACATCTGCAACAGATCCACCTTGCACGTCAATAATACACCATATTCTGAGCAACTGTTTTCATCTATCTTACTGATCTGTTCAATTTAATTGTACTTTTTTCCCCTCTTACTTTCCCAATAAGTTGATGAATCGACCTATATTAGACAACCATTAGAAACCACTAAACAGTAGACAGATATCTGTTTCGTAGTATTGTAGTGAAGGAGAACACAGGTGAGGGCCACCGAATAGTATTTAACGAAAATTACAGAGTTACTCGGTAAAATAGGAAAACCATATCGTAAATCGTTAATTTGCAAATCTTCAATCCATTGTCTGACATTTCACTATTCATGCGTTTCATACAAATTCCATTGTGTTCCCACTCTTCCTTTTTTGATCTTCCCCCATCTTCTGCTGCCAGACATTACGATGACACTCACGTCATATACTACTTATAAGTAGCGTGCACCACAGTATTAGTCTCCTTAATAGTATGCATACCTAACCTTAACGATGCTCAAAGCTTAATCTTGAGAGACTTCACCTTGTGTTTCCAGAACTTCCTGCTTCTGAATGGCTGCCTAACTAAGCTGAGTTCATTATCTCAAAAAAAACATTCATTTACCTATCTTCACAAAATTGAAATACTTTTTTGTTTTACAGATATCAACTCATTTCTGTACAATAATTAAACCAATATTCAATGAAAATAATCAAAATTTAAAATTGGATGAATTTATTACGGTAGACTGTAATGAGAATTCAATTAGTGGGCATTCGACTAAATCGATTACAATTTCTGTTTGTCCAAAATTAAAAGGAAGCTTTTGTTTTCATTTATTCTATCGTTTATATACTACTGCTGAAATGAATAGTAGTCAAAAAAATTCGGACAAAATTGCTGATGGAATTCATAGGAAATCAGGTTTGTTTAAAAATGATTAAAATGAAGTAGTGTTTACAGGCGATGATATGACTTATTTTCTTTTTTGTTTCATTTTTAAAATGTGGGACTTCGGAAACACTTATCCGAATTTAATTCATCGATAATAATAATAATGATAATGTTTATCTAGTCGACAATAACTTGAAATCCTGCGAGATGAAGGAGTCGGGGATGCGCACTGCCAGTGATGAGTCCCATACCAGGACGAAACGGCCGTCCAGTACTTTTAGGTTTCTAAAGGTGGTCTAACAATGATTGATTGATGAGTTCAAATGTTTAGAAACACTAATCTCCATAATTCTAATTGAAATTTCATGTGTTGGGTTCTTGTTTGCAAATTTAAGTTATTGAAGAAAGTAATTATTGGAGTTCATATCATGAGCCGATCTTAGCCAGATCAACATTAGAAAGCTGGAAGCACTGGATAGCCGTTTCATCGAAGCATGGAGCTCATCAACATTATGCATCCACAATCGCTGTACACGGCAAATGAACCCAGAATCGTCGGTCTCGCACGCGAATGCTTAACCACTGAGATGGCATTCAACAGTGTTAGTGTTTAACTTCAGTCAGTCCACAATATTACGCAACTACCATCTGTTGCCTGCTTAGGAAAATCATCTCCCACCTAACGATGTTCACTGCTTTTCATTAAAATTTCAAGAATTCAACTTGAACCTTGTCATTAGTTAGCAGACGATTGTTGATAGGTCCTGTAATAGAACAAAACAGCCATCCAGTGCTTCCAGGTTACCAATAATGGTCTAACTAAGATCACTTTGTGATTTTAAGTGCGAAATTTCGCTTTCACTAAATTTTTTAACAAGTTGGATCTGCATCGAATGGGGTCGTTAATCCCGACGCCTAACCCTCCTCCTTTATCAGGGCTTGGGACAGGTAGAGTAACTCTATAAGGGCTAAAGGCAGAGTTGAAAAAACCCATAATGTTTAATTCATTTCTGTAGATCAAGACAGATGAACATCAACTAGTGAATACTGATCAAAGGTTTTTTGAACTTCCAAAGCCTCATTCATCATCAAGTATGATTCTGTTAGTGCATGTTGTGTTCTATTGGAGAATTTTACTTTCCTCTCTTATGTATGTTGAGATCGATAGCTGCTAAGGCTGCTGCTACAATGCTCATCTTCTCTTGCATTTATTGTTGCGTGTGCGATAAAGGAGCCAGATCATCTTTGAAGTCCAGATCGTCCAGCTGCATCCTGGCTGCTCACTGTATCCTCTGATTCTCTTCAAATGTTGACGTCTCCATAATCGAGTCAACTGCGAGAGGAGTGAGCAATGTGGAATAGACACATGTGTAAGTACACACACACACACACACTACAAGATTATGATCACTTAACATTTCTTCTAGGTAATCTTCTCATTCATTTATCAATGGGGGTCTGAAATAGATTATCAGTAACACTAAATTCTAGTTTCCTTCAATGGTTTATTCTAAATTTCACTTTTTACTTCATTTTTTTCCCCGAATTTAGATGAGACACATAGAAAATATTTAACTGATGAAATATTAGCGACAACAATATTTATTGAATCAGTTTATCCTACTCTACAAATTACTGATATTTATGGTTCAGGCAGTTTGAATACAATTAGTCCAGTGGAATTATGGCGTAGTTTAGATATAGATAGGTAGGTGTATGTGTTTTATTTTAATTAACTGTTCAATAATTATAAATATATATTTTGTTTAAAATTGTTTTATTTATCAATCGGTTTATTCATAGAATAAATGAAAATTATTGAACACATTGATCATACATATTGATTTAGACAAATATTGGTTTCAAGTATGTACACATAGAATGAGGCTTCATATTGTAGTGAAGGAGAACACAGGTGAGGGCGACCGGATTGTATTTAACGAAAATTACAGAGTTACTCAGTAAAATAGCAAAACCATATCGTAAATCGTTAATTTGCAAATCTTCAATCCATTGTCTGACATTTCACTGTTCATGCGTTTCATACAAATTCCATTGTGTTCCCACTCTTCCTTTTTTGATCTTCCACCATCTTCTGCTGCCAGACATTACGTTTTTACTCGCGCCATATACTACTTATAAGTAGCGCGCACCACAATATCAGTATAGTAGAATGAAATTTATGACGATGGCCTTTAGAGGATTGATTGATGAGAAATTCAACTTAGAAAGTGTGTAATGGCAAAGAAAACACGAAACGTATGCAGTGCAAAGTATTGTGTGATATTATATTGTAGTATGCGTACTTTTATGTTGAGCTCGAAAGGTTTGTCTTTGTTTTTGGACAAAGCAGTTAGTCCTTTCTCCTCTAAAGTTATTATTCAAATGCCTTTTAAGCGTATTTAATTATTCGCTCATATATTGGTTGTTTTTGCCGCTTACTTGAATTGCTTACTACACATGTCTAGCTTATTTTTCCTGACCATAAATATTTAGTCACATGCCTTATTCTTATGGTCGTCACTTAATATGTTTGAAACTATCACGAGTGCACCTTAGTCGATAAACGAGAACGAGACAATGAACCAGTGAAACGGTAGGCTACTCTGATCCGTTGACTAAAACTAACTGAAGGAAAAGTTTTGATATGGCATAGAAAGTATATTCTACAAACACCCAGCCAGCACACAGATATCGTTTATTCATACATCATAGAAACGTCCTTGGGAGAGTCACAAAAATAGCACACTAAAATAACACAGTAGCCAATCACAGCCAAGCATTTTTTTTGGTGGGAAATGTGATCTCAAAGTCAACTGATCAGCTCATGAATAAAATCTAAAACTAAGACATTTATCAAGCGAGTTCTGGGGATCTACCATCCCCAACACTCCTCCCCTTTTTAGTAGAGTGAGGTCGACTTGAACCTTGACTATTGCTCGCCGCTCTCTGAGAGGATACCTTCTGGAACGGAGATAAGCCTGTTGCTGAGTTACTTCTCGTGGTGGGGATGCCGGTAAGTTAAAGATATCTAGCAGGATGTCAAGGGGAAGATTTGCTCCTGTTGATGACGATCTGGGGTTAGCCATTTGTGTATCTGATTTCTATGGCTTGACCACCTTTCGCCTCCTACCTCTACATCGTTCATAACTCGCCCAATTCTTCTGACCACTCGCGCTTCTGTGCAAAGACCATGGTTTGTTCTGTAGTCACGGACAAACACAGGACATCCCACTTCGTAGGAGGATTGCCTTTCTGACTTTATCTCTACTGATGTTGGTACATTAGTCGAATGCATCAGTCTGTCGATCGTTTTCAATCTTCTTCCCATCAGGATTTCTATTGGGGACTTGTGCTCTAGTCACAACTCATTTGGTGTTGTTCATTAAACTTAACGCGTCGGCTGGGCTCCCCTCCCCTTTTTACAGGAAATTGGCTTGCTCACCTTCTCCACTTCGTTTCGTGATACTTCTGAACTATACATTCTCGAGTCTGTTAGCGTAAACAATCGTACGAACTTAATGTAGCCACAAAACTGTATATGACCTGTTACTAACACCGTCGCACAAACGGAGTTTACTTAAGTATGATTTACCGAAACAGAAGGGGGGATTTATTTCATAGCATACTTGAACGTTTATAAATACCGGAGTCAGCTAGTGGGCCACAAAAACGTGATGGACGTGATGCTTGATTTAACGCAGCCCACTCAAGATTTCGAAGATGATGATAAGAGTCGGTAAATTTGAACCTGTGTGAACAGTTCGGAGACATTATCCAAAGTATTCAAAAATCAGTTACAATGACCTTACAGTCCGTTATTGATAGACTTGCACTTATCAACATGGCTTTATCTACCACCAGTCTTCGATTTTTAGACAGTCGTTTATGATTCTGAATTATGAACGTTTACATAATATCCCCTAATATGAACTAGTTCTACATGTTCTTGATAGTTCAGCCACCACAACTCACAATCTATTACCGATCACAATCATCGACTTGACAAAATAGAGACTATAGGAATTCTGAAGAACCTTGATTTCGAAAAAAAAGCTATTTCAAACTTGTGAGCGAGAAACCCTGTTTATGTAGTTATAACAATGACCTTGTAAATATAACAAAAATCTAAAAAAAACTAGAAGCGAAACCAGTTGATACCGAAGTTCACGGTTCTAATATGCATTAAAAAGTTATCGAAAATTTCCTGATTGATAACTACATAATTAGACGTTTTCCTCACGGACGAGTATCAAACATCACGAAACCTAGATCCAGGATTCCCTGTCGATTACCTCCAACAACCACCTTACATCTCAATACAGTGCACACGATATAGAATCACTTGGGCTTGCTGGCCGTAATACAATTTGATCGATTGAATTTGACCGGCAGTATGAAGGAGTAGAAGCACAGCACACTGACCACAATTCAGTGGCCAATCAGCTGCAAATTCATGCACTCAATGTGTATCCGATGTGATGGTGAATTTTGCCGAAAAGTCATCGCAACTAGAAAATCACTAAACACAAAATTTGCTTCCAGGTTTCTAATGGTGGTCTAACAATCATTGATTGATGATTTCAAACGTGTAAAAACGCAAACCTCCAAAACTCTGCCTGAAAATTATTCATTAGCGTTTAGAGCTGCTCAACACTGTCCACATTGCGTTCAAGTTAAAATAGATCCCTATTTAGTTAGTGATCACAGTAAAGATGTTAATTTTGGCCAATTTTTGATTGCAATTTTGAAATATTCCATAATCTCAAGTTTATTCAGCTTATGATATCTATCACGCAATGATTACTGATTGTGTAAATATAATGAACCAATCAAAAGTGGCCTGATGGCAAGGTCATCTGATGACCATCAGACAGGTTGAAAAAAGGACGAGTAACATGTATCGCGTTCATATTTCGGACATCGTACATCATAACAATTGATTTTATACTGTCATCATCAAAACTCTGTTATTTAACACACGTTACAACATGGTATTTCACTAAGTAGTTTATTCAAGTTAATTTGACCAGTACTTATGCTTTTAGGGTTGCAATGATATAAAAACGCATAACTAAATTTCCATTTAAAGGTTTTAACGATCATTTTTTCACAAGAAAAATAGTGTGAATCATGATATCCATTGTAATCCTCTTGATTTGAGATTTACTTATTATGAAGACATTTGCTATCCGAAATACACGGATGTTTTATCATAAGTAGTGCGCAGTGGTAGCGTCGTTTGGAAGTTGATGCAGTCAACAGCCGAAAACAAGAGCTTCAGGAAGCTTATCTATCGTGATGAGCGAGCCCACTAGTATTGACTGGAACAGATGTTCCTTCAGGTCCTGCCATGCCAAGCAGGTTGATTCGAGAACGGTATTATTAAAAGCAGCACCTCAAGGTATGAGGGTGTTGTTGTACTGCTGACCTTAGAGCGGTGTGACAGCAGTAAGGTGTTTTTCTCAGACAACTTGCAGTTGCAGCGGTGCTAGCTGCTAGCAACAGAAGGAAGGGTTAGAACAGGTAGGCACAGCTTGTCACACCTCGCCTCACCGCACGAATTTCTATCTGCGGAAGTTTGACCTTCTGAAGAACGGAGCCAACACTTCAAATGCTTCCCATAAAAGCCCGTTCATGATCGACCTCAAGCTGTTGTCCCTTTTGCTCTGCGATACTGCTCCCACGTCGCTAAGGCCAACTGTGACCCAACGTTCTTCCTTGGTTTCTCCTGAAATATTCTTCAACGGGGTGGGCAAATGGGAAGTGACATCCGCCCTCATGCTAGTAACAGCATGTGCGATCGACTTGCTCATAACAAAATTCTTTCCTCATCCTCTTAATATCTTCCTCATCTCCATGACTAACCCTTCTCTCACACCCTTATCGCCTCGCTCCGCTGATGCTAATGACTTGCGTACACGGAATGGTATTCTTGGTCTTTTGAAATCTTACTCTAAACTACATGTTAAAGCTTTTAATGTTCGGACCTCATACAAAAATAGGACAAAGCAGGCTTCCTGAGCTCAGACTTTAGAATCTCACATCATTGATGTTTGCTGCGTCTGTCACGCGCATACACAATTCTGAGTACAACCGTAATCCTAATACTTGTTTTCTTGTGCCTACATACACTAAATCCCGAACTAAGGAAATGAAATTTACGTAAGTTTTCATCTCCACTTATATTTAATAAGTGAACAATTAGGAATAATAAATGTGTAATTTTCTCTTGCGCAAATAATATTCTCACTTAGTCAATCTAACCTGTTTGTATCAAGGAAATCTTGCCAGTAATCATATGATGTTGAAAAAGGCGAGATAGATAGATGCGTTGTTGATGATTGAGACTTTTGATAATGTGTTTACTGTTTATTACGTGCTTCAACTAATGTCATTTATCAATCTGAGTATCACTTTATTTTGTGTAGTCAATGCCTCTGCTTTATTTATAACAAAATGACAAAGTGCGAAAAACACTACATCGAGAATTAAGTGGACTTTCACTCCAACTTCGCCTGTGTGAACGTCACCTAGTAGTCAAAGGTCACGATATTTCTTCATGTCAATACGTACGGAAAATTATGGACAGATGTTCAATTAGAACAGTGTTGAAGTGCTGGATAGATAGAGTACAAAGAATACTAAGGAATTTTTAAATGATTGGCACTCAGGTCAATCAGCAATCAACAAGTACATCGACATTGACCCAATCTGTCAACTTCAGAAAAATCATAAGTGACATAGGATCAAGAAACAGATCAAAAAGGGGAATACAATCAAAACAAAGGTACAAACAACGACAGACTGAAGGTCAACAGCAACCAATCAAGATCGAGGTTAGCAGAACAAGCTACAGATCAAACATAGAGAAATTCGAATACTTCACTTCTCCTATCTGAAGTTGGTTCTGATGATGTAGTTTAGAAGAACAATGAAAGCTTCACAACCAAAACTTTCATCTCAGAGAACGAAGCTCCATCACAAATAAATATCCATTTTCGATTTTCATATATACTATACCGATGTTCAATGTTCAACTGTTAAAAAATTTGCTGATCACATTGTTTTTTTTTACTTTTCATTCATTTATAGTTTAAATGTCAGTTTAGAAGCTGATCCAACAGAGTATGAATTAAAAGATACAATCACTAGTCGTCCACTTTATCGTGATCATCCTAAATCATTTGACTGTCGTGGACCAGAATTCGATTTATTCATTGGTACATCAGTTCTAGCCAAAGATGTTGATATCAATCATTATTCAAAGGCATTATTATGCTTTCTAGTGGAGAATTCCAGTTTGATAGATATTGATTTCAGTTTTATGTTTCCGGAAGATTTACGTATTGAGCTGCCTAAATGGGCAGAAAGTGGACATTATGAAGAAGTGGAACTTCAACAGGTAAATATTAGTTCATCGTTATTTTGTGTGTAACATTTGTAAATTTGCATTACGGGCTTGTGAAGATTGTTAAGTTACACATTTTTGAAAGCATTAATCGACCAATGTTGTTAGACCACCATTAGGAACCTGGATGCACTGAAAGACGGCCGCTTCGTCCTGGTGTGGGACTCCTCAACAGTGTGCGTCCACGACTCCTGCACCCTGCAGGATTTGAACCCACGACCATTCGGTATTGTGCTCGAAAGCCCTAACCGTTAGACCACTGAGCCGGTACCTAACGGTGTTAATGTCTAACTTGATCAAATTCACGGAGTTGAGCAACCTCATACCCAGTCTTCGGTAGACAATGCATACACCCAAACAGGTTGAACTTCACTGGTCACGTCTTCCCACTAGAACTCGGAGAAGATTTCTCACGAAGCTAGTCACTAGTGAGCACAGGTGATTTGCATTACGGGGTTGTGAAGATTGTTAAGTTACACATTTTTGAAAGCATGAATCGACCAATGTTGTTAGACCACCATTAGAAGAAACCTGGAAGCACTAAAAGACGGCCGCCTCATCCTGATCCGGGACTCTTCAACAGTGGGCGTCCACCACCCCTGCATCCCGCAGGATTCGAACCCACGGCTTTCAGCATAGTGCGCGAACGCCCCAACCGTTAGACCACTGAGCCGGTACCTAACGGTGTTAATGTCTAACGTGATCAAATTTGAAAATTGTCGAAAATAGTGTTTGATTTCATTTTCACTTAAATATACCAGTGAAATTATGAATCGAGCATTGTTAGACCATTCGAAATCTGGAAACACTAGGTTTTTGTTTCGTCTTAGTATGGGATTCATCAGTAATGAACATCCACAACCTCTGCAAACGGGAATCGAACTCAGGAGCTTCGGTTTCGTGAGAGGACGCTTAACTTCTTGACCACTGAGCCGGCATCTAACAACGTTACTGTCTAACTTCGATCAATACACGGATATTGCGTGACCTCACCCACTGTGTTCTACAGGTCTGAACTCCACTAGAACTCCAAGCTAGTCACTAACGAACACATTTTCCCTGTCCGGTGGTAGTGGATGCGCACTGCAGGTGAGTCCAATACTAATTAGAAATGGTCATCCAATGCATTTATGTTTCTAAAGTTGATTTAACAATCATCAGTTCATTATTTCAATGAAACTCAACAATCTCCATGATTCGATCATTAAAACGTGTAACAGGTAAATTTCTACTATGTAACAAGAACTCTTTAACTAAGTTTAATTAAAACTCGTTGTCTGACAATCATATCAAGTTTAATCAAAATTTTTTTATCCAGTTATATTCAGATGTTGATTTTAGTAAAGAGGGAGGATAACATTGAATCAATTAAGAAATGTGAAACATGTGGAGAGTTCCCAATGTGCATACTTGATATCCGATGAATGAATGTTAGAAGTGTAATAAAAATATCTTTAAAAGTCAAGTGTATACGCAAATAGAGAAGTTATAAATAATTACATTTTTTTAAGAGAAACAAACCCTTCAGTGAAGGCATCACTTTTCAATGAATATTCTTTAACAGATTGATATTTTTTGAGAGATTGGATACTTGAAGAAACGTAGGCAGATTTGAACAATTTGTATAAACAACTTTAAAATTAACCTGTCGTTTAATCGAGTGATTGGAAGTGATTAACTGTTCCAGAATGAAACTTCTAATTGCCTCCTGCCATATCTTTGTAGAACTACATTGGGACATACTGTCTGATCAGGGATCAAAACAATCACTAGCTTTGAGATGGTGGATAAAATATGTAACTCAGGTGAAGGATTGTGGTGGTGTTTCGTTCACTGAGCTGGGTGTTTTGGTTGTGGAGCGTTCATTGTTCTTCTACTGTACAGCCTCATCAGCACAAACTTCAGATAGAAGAAGTGACCCATGGCTCGTTCTCTTGACCTTAATGTTGCTGTAGACCTTAAACCTGTCGTTGTTTGCACCTTTGTTTTAATTGTATCCTCCTTTTTGATCTGTTTCTTGATCCTATGTCTGCCTATGATTTGTCTGACTGGTGGATAAACTGACCGCCCATTTACCTTGCTTCATTGTGGTGAATTTTTTTAAAATAATAACCTTTCGATCAACGCTCAGGGTAGATAGAGATAAGGTTCAATTACTTGCCAACAGCCATTCTGCATAAGGTGATTATACGTTTAATGGACACAGCATCCGATTTCTGTCAAATTGTTCATTCTGATTTTGATTACTGTTCATGAAATGAAATACTCACTGTTGTTTTAATCAAGTTAAAAAGATTTTAAAAAATCTTTCTCCTGTTATATCGATAATCATTACTTTCTATCAGAAGTTGAACAGTTTTGTTGACTGTTCAGTTACTCTCACAATTAACTTCTTCAACGTAACATTTGAATTAAGTAGGTCTTATACACTTAACATGGAGCTCTTCTAGGATCGCTGCTGGTTCCAAGACCGAATATATGAAGATGCTTAAAAATGAGGTTAGCCACCCCATCCGGTAGAAAACCGACTTGCTAGGAAACGCTAACCACAAAAATCAATTCAAACCATTTAAACTCTACCATTGGAAGTGGAACGTTTTCATTTGGAGAGTTATCATGCCTCATGGAGAAAGTCGAGTTCCTTTAAAAGTCACAAGGCCGATAACCCTTCTGACAAACAGAATGACCGCTTATTTAGGTGCATAGGATGTGCGTACATTGTAGGAGACTGAGATAACTATTCAAGTTGCTTCAAAAATGAAAAGATACAACCTTGTTGTATTGAGAATCAATGAAATATATTGGACGCAGGTTGGAAAAAGACTAGCTTAAGGAGAGCTACTGTTGTACTCCGGCCATGAAGAAGAAAATTTCACACACACAAAAGGAGCTGCACTGTTGCTGTCCAAAGAATCCCAAAAAGTACAAATAGGATGGGAATCTCATGAACCCAGAATCATCACAGAATCCATTAAAACAAAGAATGAGCCGATGACAATGAATGTCATTCAGGGCTATGCACCCACTGACGAAAACAACGAAGACGATAAAGAATATGTTTGTCAGGGGCTGCGACCAATCATTGAGAAATCCCCAAGAAAGAATTTGACCATTCTGATGGGAAAACCGAAATGTCAAGGTTGAAATGAGCTACACTGAATACAAAGACAACATGGACTACGTGGACTGGGACAAAGGAACTTAAACGGTGAGAGGTTATCAAATTTATGTGCCTTCAACTAAAAGGTTATAGTCAGCACTACATTCCCACACAAAACTGCATGGGTTATACTGGATCATCATACCACGTAGAACCAAAATGGATCACATTTGTATTGATAAAATGTTCAGCAGGACCATGGAGGACGTCTGTTGTCCCTTTTTACATTTAATAATGGTTACTTTTCCAGTTATGATTTTTTTATATTCAATGTTTTCTCCGTTGAAGTTACGTCTTAATCATCAAAACGATATTATTCGGTGAATTATTTGAAACCAGAGAGTATTAGAGATTTAGCTTTATTCATGTCTAGAGCGTTTGTATAGTGTTTACTCTTGATTTGAAATTGCACCAAACTCCGAGTTATCAAGTTCCATGTACAAACTGATATTGTTGAATCCAAGACTTGAAACCCAATACTCTTCACATAGTTCCATGTTATCTGTTATTTTTGGAGCGATTTTCCATTTTATGAAGACTGATTCTACTGGTGAAACTCGATCATCAGCATTTTATATAATCTATCTAACATCTAGTTTACGCTCTCGTTCACCTTATATCCCTAACTGATAATCAATATCACGTGATAAATACAAAACCAATCAGAACTACATCCTAGTCCCAGTAGCCTTGAGTTAGCTCTAATTGCTGATTGGTCCACAACTCCATAGCTTATTTCTCTCTACCCCGTCTCTTAGCTCACTACTCTATAGCCAGTTTCCACATAGTTCACGATATTTCAAGCAGAAATAGTTTATGTGCAAAGCATACCAAACGGCATCACACCAATTAATGAGAAAATACATTTATGCATAAGTTAGTCTAAGGAGTTGCCACTTCCTTAATCTCCCTCCAAACATGGCACATACTCACACGATTCTGGCAGCGTTGTCTATAAAACAATTGAGTGGACGGAAAGCAAACGTAATGATAAACTATGTCTGTGTACGGGGGGGAACCCACATAGAGGACTTGCAGAACCTTAACGATAGTAATAACCCATACTTACTTACTTACACCTGTTACCCCCAATCGAGCATAGACCGCCCACCAGTTTTCTCTAACCAACTCTGTCCTCAGCTTCCCTTTCCAATTCTGTCCAATTTTTGTTCATTCTTCTCATGTCTTTCTCTATGTCTCGGCGTAATATGTTCCTTGGCCTTCCTCTTTTCCTTTTGCCTTGAGGGTTCCATGTGAGGGCTTGTCTCGTGACTCAGTTATGGGCTTTTCGTAGTGTGTGTTCTATCCACTTCCACCGCTTCTTCCTGATTTTCTCCTCCATTGGAATCTGACTTGTTCTCTCCCACAGTTCGTTGTTGCTGATCGTGTCTGGCCAACCCATACATTACTCCAAACAGTTATTACTTCTCTAATCTACCTTCAGATATAAACAATTTACCTAAGTTATCTCTTTCATTTTTAATAACTATTGTATCGTTTAAGCATGAACGCTGAACGAATTCAATGAGAACTTTGAACAATTACAAATAATTATCCATTTTCTCTTGTTTGTTTTAACTACACCATTTCAAGTTACATATTGAAAATCATTCTTTAATTGATATTCAACCAAGACGTTGTTTATTGAAATCGGGCGAATCTACTGAAATCATGCTAACATATTATCATAATTTCTCTGGTTGTCATCAATTGCCCATACTTTGGAAAATTAATGGTGGACGAGAAATTAAAGTAAGGGAAAATTTCGATTTCGTTTTTCTTTTCATTCTATGTTACGCCTGCACATAAACACGTCAATTTGATATACTTGAACTATTACGAGTATTCCTGAGTCGGAATACGAGAGTAAAGATCGAAGATCCGGCGACACGACATGCTACTCAAATCCGATTATTCCAACCCCCATATTGAGTATAAGATAAGAAGACATGATATGAAGTAGAACATGTATTCGACAAGCATCCAGAAAGTATGAGGTCCGAGTCCAGAAGCGAATCATGATTCCGGACTAGGGATCTGGGGCCGGGTCCTGGTCACAAAACGTTACAGATAATGTGTATTTATACATTTTGGTCGAATAGGAAACAGCATCAAAGTCTGTGACATTGACAGTCAAGACGACCAATAGGAAGTAACATTTGAAGGGACATTGATAGTCAGGACAACCAATCAGAAACAACATTGGAGCATGTGACATTGATATCTAGAACGATCATAAAAATGACCAGTAGGAATTAACCAATAGGAATCGACCAATAATTCTCTTAGGATATTGGATGAACATCCTAACATTCTATTGATTTCATTGATTCATAAACAGTAAACAACGAAACTGCGAAGGTACTGAGTTCGATTCCTGCCAGTAGAGAGAGAGTCATGGATGCGCACTGCCACTGATGATGAGTCCCATACCAAGACGAAACATCTGTCCAGGGTATTCAGGTTTCTAATGCTGGTCTAACAATGATTGTTGATTCATGATTTCAATGAGACCCAAAATCTTCATAACCTTATAATGGCAACGACATGGACCAACTACTACGTCGAGCCCAAGAGGGCTTGTCCCAGCCTTTGGACAAGTCTAATCCATCCTTCTTGAGTTATATTATTCTTACGTCTTTCAAAATTGTCAACTGTTCGCTCATAACCCTAGTTGTTTTTATTTCAGTGTATGTACATGTTTACTTCACTAATCACATGTCTAGCTTATTTTCTGTCTGACTATAAATACTTGGTCATACCTCATTGGCTTGTTATTACCGACGTCATACAAACGCTGCATGATATACGGACATCGAAGGGAGGATCGTGGGTCACTAAAAACCAATAAAATCGGAATTACTTACTCATCTGACATTTGTAATTGCATTCTTTTATTAACTGTGAGATTCACCTGACTTACTTACTTATGCCTGTTTCACCCAATGGGGCATAGGCCGCCGTCCAGCATTTTTAAACCTTCTCTATCCCTCACCTTCCTTTCTAGTTCTGACCAATCGCTGTTTATAATTCTCATGCTTTGTCTCCATTTCTCGGCGTAATGTGCTTTCTATTCTTCCTCTTTTCATTTGAGGTTGGGGAGTTTTAATGAGGGCTATGAACCCTCATCTACCCGGTTTTTTAGTTGATGATATTATGCTAAAATCACTCAGATGGTACGAAATGAAAATAATACTACTATTTACCGCAAACATTCTCTATTTACTCCTATTCTATTTGTATTCCTACCAGTCTTGTACTTTCTCATTTCTGTCTTCCAACCATGCATATCAACTTCGCAATTACTTGTTGTTACTCATGACCTTTTTAAGATTCGTTCGGATTTTATGATAGCTTCAAAATTTGCCTCGAAAAAATGACAGACTGTTCTCTGTTTTGTATTTGCAGATGACAAAATCTGGGTTGTAGGAAGGACATTTTTGTGCAGAAGTAATTGTTGTCCAGCATTTAATAAGCTTCCACTGGTTTGGAGGTACCTTCTATGGTTTGTGTACATTAACTAAGTTCTTAGACAACCACAGAACACAATCCATGAAGTCACTAACAAGTGAAGACTGAGTCATGTTGGTAGATGTAGACTACTACCTGGTTGGGGTCCGCGAGACAAAAGTCACCAATGGTTAGAGACTTTGAGTGACATGGCTCATAATCGTTTGCAATGGCGCAGGTGCATCCACTCCATTTGTGTTCTCTCAAATTCTAACATTCTGAATTCCTCATCATCTCTATCTTTCTCTTCCGAAATTTATCTCGAATCCTATCTTCGAGCTCTAATCTCTATTACTGTTGATACTCCTACTTTCTCTACCACTATGGGATTTGAACTGACAGCTGCATCTCTGTGTTGTTGGGGTATGACGACTTGAACTTATTTTTACTCATGTACGAAGTTCTACGTTGTAACTGACTGACTGACTGAATGACCCTCATCTACCATTATTACATTATTGAAATGCATACAGACCTAAATGTTCTTTTCAAAAAATAATTACCTATCTTTGTACATTTTTTTCTCTCCTAAACTCTAGTTAAATATCATTGGAATTACATTACCATTAAATCAACCCTACTTGCAATTAACTACAACCAATCGTAAATTTATATTTCATCCAACTCCAATCGGTTTGGGGGATTTTCGTTTAGGTTATTTATATCAAATGAAATTCCGTAATCCTAGTTCATGTAACATACATTTTCGTATTAGTCCGCTCAAATGGTTCACAACAAATCAGTTAAGTAAAACAAAATTAAAACATGTCGACAAAGATAAAGAAGAAATTGCTACTGATGAAGAAAATTCATTGAGTTGTTATAATTTACCAATATTATATTGTGTACAACAAGAAGGTTTGATTAAATCAAATGAATTGTATGCATTAGAATGGAGATTTCGTCCGATTGAAACAAAAACTTATAATGTAAGTTATCTTTCTAACTTTCTTAATGTTTAGTAGTAGTTATCAGTGAGTCTCGGATAAATGCATTCATTGTTCAGACACACCAAACACTTAACTTACGCCTGTTAGCCCCAATAAAGTATTATAGGCCACGGACCAGTATTCTCCAACCTACTCTGCCCTCGGGCCTTCCTTTCCGATTCTCTTCAATTAGTGTTTATTCTTTTCACGTCTGTCTCCATTTCCGGGCCTAAAATATTCCTTGGTCTGCTTCTTTTCCTACAACCCTGCGGTTTGCAAGTCAGGGCTTGATATGTGATGCGATTCAGTGATTTCCTCAATGTGTGTCCTATCCATTTCCGGATTTCTTCTTCCACTGGAATTTGGTTTGTTCTCTCCCACAATAGGTTGTTTTTGATGATGTTTGGCCAACGGATCTGAAGTATTTTGCGTAGACAACTGTTAATCAACACTTGCATCTTCTTGATGATGGCTTTTGTGGTACTCCAAGGTTCTGACCCATACAACAGAACTGTCTTAACATTTGTGTTGATAGTTGTTTTGAGTTCCAGATGTTTTGTGATTGTAAAAATGCCATCCTTGCTTTGCCGATCCGCGCCTTCAAATCTGCGTCAAATCCACCCTGCTGGTCAATCATGCTGGCCAGCTATGTAAAGTTTTCTACATCCTTCAAAGCATCTACATCAAGTGTGATTTGGTTGGTGCAAGTTGTGTTGTATCTCAGAACCTTGTTTTTCCCTTTTTGTATGTCGAGACCTACTGCTGCTGAGTCTGCAGTTACACTTATTGTCTTCTCCTGCATTTTTTGTTGCGTGCACGATAGAAGAGCTAGATCATCTGCAAAGTCTAGATCGTTCAGCTGCATCCTAGCCGTCCGACACAGCAGATACGCTTATATTGCTGTAGTTCGAGATCAATAAACGACTTATATACAAGTCAATTAGACTGTTGTTTTAAAGCATGAAACTTATAGATTCGACCATCTGGTGGAGTTTTAGATGTGCACTATTACACAGTCACGTAAGACACTGTGGTGATGCTACACTCTCAAGGTTGTTGGCATATGGTGTCAAATCTAGCTGGCCTGTTCTAGGGTAGTGAACGAAGACGTCGAGAACAGATGGAAAAGTAGTGTATTCGGGAATTACTTCGTTTATTAACAATATACGTACATCGTATCTTCAGCCTTTCGCTTTCAAAATAAACAGATCATTGGCTATCGACTTTCACAAGAACACATGATCAACATATCAAAAAAGGAAATCTTAGCGAGTATGAGAACTACATAGGCATCACTCTACTCTCAATACCAGGCAAAGTCTTCAACAGAGTGTTGATGAACCGAACGAAAGATTCAGTCATCTCTCAATTTCGAGGTCAGCACGCTGGATTCCGTAAAGATCGATCATATATCAGCCAAATCGCAACACTATGGATCATTTCGGAGCAGCCAAGTGAATGAAATTCACCACTGTACGTCACTTATCTTGAGAAAGCATTGAACAGAGTGGAAGAGAACAAACCAACGACTAGTTGTGGAGGAAATTTAGGAAAAGGCATTAGAGCTGGATCGAACAAACATTACTTCAAACACTGCTCTAACGCAAGATCTTCAAAGCCAAAATAAAAGAGGTAAATCAAGGAATACAATGCACCGTAAACTGGTGACACACATGATAAGAATGAATAGCGATTGGTTAGAACTAGAAAGGATAGCTTGTGGTGGTAGGGTTAGCTCGAGATTTCTGGTCGCAGGCCTATGGACCAGGAGGGTTAACTGGGGTAAGTAGAAGTAAGTAATTCATTTTATAAAATATGTGACAGGTTAGTTATTCCAACGCAATGCGTTCAGGGCATCCCGTCGACTACATCCAACCTCCACCATAGACTAGCCTTCATTATGAAAATATTGTATATCGTACATTAAAATATTTCAGGTTGTTCAGCTGTTTCAGTGATGGTAATCAGAGTTTTAAATTTATCAATGTGATATTGGTCACAGGTTAGGGATACAACAGTAAGAATCCCTAAAATGGACTGCTTTCGTCATTCGGTGAACTGCTAAAAACTACCTACATAGTTATTTCTCAGTAATAAATGATATTTTTTAGTGTAGGGTTGTACAGATTATTGAGTTTCATCGAAATCGTGAATCTATCAATGTTAGACCACTGTTGAAGACTTGAAAACACTGGACGGCTGTTTCTTCCTAGTTTGGGACTCATCAGAGGTGCACATTCACAACCCACACGAGCTCGGACCGAACCTAGGACATTAACATCGTCAAACGCCTACTCGGTTATCAAGAGGTTATGCATTCGAGCACGAGACCAAATATCCAGTGTTCAGTTCCAACTAGCGAGATCGTTGATCTGAACTGCTGATGAATTCCATACAAGAACCAAACAGCCTTCCAGTGTTCCAAGGTTTCCAATCTTGCATTAACATTATTCAGCTCATGGTGTAGTGAACGAGAACACAGGTAAGGGCAACCGAATTGTAGTATTTAACGAAAATTACAGAGTTACTCAGTAAAATCGGATAACCATATCGTAAATCGTTCATTTGCAAAATATCAGTCCATCATCATATCGAACTGGACTGTTGTTCCTGTTGCAAAACATCAATCCATTGTCACTATTCATGCGTTTGTTTCATACAAATTCCATTGTTTTCTAACTCTTCCTTTCTTGATCTTCCCCCATGTTATGCTGCCAGACATTACGATTACCCTCACGTCATATACTACTTATGAGTAGCTCGCACCACAATGGTTTTGATAAAAAACAAATAGATTTTTATGTTTAATAACTATCAGAAAACTTTTTGATAATTTTTAGGCTTACTGTTACATTCATATTATGGATGCTGAACAATCGTCAACTAATAATCAACCAGCTTATACTGATACAATCTTATTAGAATTAATAGCTATTGGTTACGATCCAAAACAATTGGGACCAAAAGAAATCATAGCCAATCCACAACGTGTTCGAATCCCGACTGTTATGGAGGTAATTATTATATGTATAGATATGTACAGATGGTTTTTATAGTAATTTTCTTGGGGATGTTATATCCCCAAAACTCGCTTGATAAATGCCTTAAATTTAGGTTTTCACGTTTGCCAGCATGGGCTGATCAGTGGACCTTGAGATTTCATTTCCCACCAAGAAAATCCATGGCTGTGATTGGTTGCTGTGTATTTTAGTGTACTATTTTTGTGACTGTCCCAAGGACGTCTCTATGATGTATAAATAAAGGAGAGTTGTATGTTTGATTGTATTGTGATTGTTGTGTGTTTGTAGAATATACTTTCTACGCTTGCCAAGTTTTCTGTCTTGCAGTTTTGGATTCAAGGTAGCGTGCCTGGACGCTAGTAATTGTCTCGTTAGCGTTTATCGACTAAGGTGAACTCGTAATAGCCTCAAGCATACTTAGTGACGAACATAATACATTTACATGTAACTGTCTACATTACACTTTGAATTGATGTATAATTCTCTCTGTGAAAGTGTAGACATCTTGGTCTATCTCAATAAATTACTTCTGTACGTCTGTTATTGCTTGTTGAGCATTAGTCACCGACCAGGATTCTTCACTCAACTTTGTTCTAGGCTGTCCTTTGCAGTTGTTCTCAAGTGTTAGTCATTCTTTTGATTACTGCCTGCAATTCCCTATACAATGTGTTCTTTGATCAGTGGCAATGAATACTTGTAATCAATGGTCAGAGATATTAGATCATCAGGCACAAAATCGTTTCTAATGATGCAGTCGTAATCTTTACTTCCGCTCAGTTTGTTATATAGAAATGATTCCTAATGCTAACTTCTGTTGAATCAATAATATCTCTCAACCGTCTTTTAAAAATTTAAATCTTCAACTCATTGGATACTATTTCTTCTCCTCTTCTTCTCATTTCGCTAATGTATAAATGACAGTTACCGGAACCCGTAAGTATGATCATGTCTTTAGGTTCTATCATACCAGGCAGGTCGATTCCAAGAGAGTAACACCAAAAACAGCAACTTAAGGTTTGAGGACAAAGTCTTACTTCTGACTGTAGATTAGTGTGACAGCAGAAACTTTTTCCTTTCAGACAATCAGCATCTAGAATGATGCTACCTTCTCAAGATTAATACCTCTACTACTATCTTTATCACTATGGGATTTGATTTGACATTTGCGTCTCTGTGCTAATAATGTGGTATGGCAACATGAACTTATGTACATACGTACGAAGTTCTACGTTGCAACTGACTGACTGACTACCTTCTCAAGATAGAAGGCAGGTGTTAGAAAAGGTCAACCGCAAAAATGTCACACCTCACCTTACCCCGCAAACTACCGTTTCCGGCGGTAAGGCCTTTTAAACTTGAGCGGAGCTAACACTACAAGCTTACCATATAAAAAGGCCGTGCGTGAGCGTCCTCAAGTAGTTGTCCCTTCGGGCTTTGCGGTCACGCTCTCAGGTTTCTAAGACTAACAGTAATTCAACTTCTTTTGCAGGTTCTTCAAGAAATACTCTTCCACGGTGTAGGCCACCGGAAAGTAATATCCGCCCTCGTACCTGTAACAGTACACACCACTGACATCTTCAACATGAAAACTTTATGTAATTTAAGCAAACTTCAAACCAATCGTTGTTAGAGCAGCATTAAAATCCTGGGTTTTGCTTACGTCCTAGAATGGGACTCATCAGTTGTGCGTATGTGCAACCTCAACACATGGGGATCAAACCCAGGACCTTCGAACTCGCGCATGAATACTTAACCTCTTGACCTTTGAGCCAGATAGACATTCAGATACAACGCAGAACTTCGTACATCAGTACATCAGTTCATGTTGCCATAGAACATTACAACAGAGATGCAACTGTTAGTTCAAATCCAATAGTGGTAGAGATAGTAGGAGTATTAGCAGTAATGGAGAAGATTAGGCAGCGAAGATATGATTCGAAAAGTATAATTCAGTGAGATAAATTTAGAAGGAGTATGGTAGAGAGTATGAGGAATTCAGAAGGTTACAATTATAGAGAATACAAAGAATAAATGCACCGGCGCCATTACAAACGATTTTGAGCCATGTCATTCAAGGTCTCTAACCATTGGTGACTATCGTCTCTCAGACCCCAACCAGGTAGTCTACATCTACCAACATGACTTAGTCCACTTGTCAGTGACTTCATGGATTTGTGCCATGTTTTGGTTTGGCCGCCCCCATAACTTTCTTCCAATCTACTCCTACACTGCAAACCTCCAACGGTATCGATGTCTAACTTTGATCAATACAAATTTTCATGTGGAGTTATTATGGTTCAAATAAGTTTTTTACTTAATCCAATCACAATTTTCAAGTATATTTCGATTAAACAACAAAACTTCTCATGAATTTCGTGTTGTTTATATATTTACTTGATTCTACAGAATCCTATCATCTCGTTAGATCGAAATTCCCAGTCAATTATTGATCAATCCAACGAAAATGACATGAATGAGGAAAAGTTTCCTCCACTTATACGTCGTATAAAAACTCCCATTGATTCATGGATTAGTTTGTCACATCATCTGATCGAATTACATCGTATTATTCTTGGTACATGTTGTAGACGTTTAATTCATATGACCAATCGATTTAGCTGTGATGTCATTAATCGATTACCTGTGAATAATCGTTCAATTTATCGATTTCGATGGTTTACTGAATTTCCAAATGATATGGAGGTGAGTGTGAAACTGTTTTAATTCTTTTTTAATCGTTGTATTACTCTGTTCTTAAGAATTGAGTTCAAAAAATAGATCATTTTAAATACAACTGTGTGCAGCATCTATTAGGATATTCATCCAATATCCTAAGAGAATTATTGGTTTATTCTTATTGGTTAATTCCTGCTGGTCAATTTTATGGTCGTCATAGATATCGATGTCACATGCTCCAATGTTGTTTCTTATTGGTTGTCCTGACTATCAATGTCACTTCCAGTGTTGCTTCCTATTGGTCGTCTTAACTGTCAATGTCACAGAATTCGACGCTGTTTCCTATTCGACCAAAATGTATAAATCGGCATTATTTGTAACGTTTTATGATCAGGACCAGGACCAGGACCCGGTCCCGGATCCATATTCCGGAATTCTGATTCTCTTCTGGACTCGGACCTCATACTTTCTGGATGACTGTAGAATACAGGTTCTACTTCTCATTCAAATCTTGTCCTATTTTTTACTCAATATGGGGGTTGGGATAATCGGATTTGAGTAGCATATCGTGTCGCCGGATCCTCGACCCTCGCTCTTGCGTTTTTCGACTAAGGTATACTCGTAATAGTTTAAGTACATAAAGTTGACGTGTTTACGTGCAGGCGTAACAGCATCTCATCCTAAACTGGATGAATTCGAGAAATAAAAATTAGCAAATATCAATCGTGAAATATTTTTGTGACGCATTTAATTTTTTGTTTAAACTTGATTGATTTGACCATGTAAATGAACTGAACAGTTCCAGCTTTAATGGATTTGATGACTGTTAGCTGAGAATATCAATGATTCGTATAAATCAGATGAGATTGCATTCAAAACTTCAAGATTTCAGGTAATAAACCAAAATCAATAGAAAGGAGGAGGGGCAAAAAACGCATTTTGATGAGAAATAGAGAAAGACATGAGAAGAATGAACAAGCATTGGACAGAACTGGAGAGGGAAGCCCAGGACAGAGTTGGCTGGAGAAAACTGGTGAGCGGCCTATGCTCCATTGTGGGTAACAGGCATAATTAACTAAGTATAATGATAAAATAAAGAAAAATTACAACGTACGATAGTGAAAACGACAGCCCATAGTTGTATTTAACGTGAAGAACAACTTATCTACAAGAAAATAGGAACTACGAGCAAACAACACATGCTATTAGCCTCTGTAATTACTTCAGCGTTTCACACAATATAATTGGCGTTACATTACACACCTAGAAATCAATAAACATAAAACTGTTTACTGAATAGAAAACTAAGTAGTATAAATCAATTCACTAAAAAAACAAGAAAGGAAGGAAGGAGAATCAGGACAACTAACGTAAAACTCAACACATATTCACAGATATTCACAAAACAATACAACGATTTCATATTATTCATAAATCTTTTCACAAAAAAGTTATAACTGGTTGAATTCGTGCCTCTTACTTACTTACGCCTGTTACCCCCAATCGAGTATAGGCCGCCCACCAGTTTCCTCCAACCAACTCTGTCCTGGGCTTCCCTCTCTAGTCCTGCCCAGTTTTTCTTCATTCTTCTCATATCTTTCTCCGTTTCTCGGCGTAATGTGTTCCTTGGCCTTCCTCCTTTCCTTTTTCATTCAGGGTTCCATGTGAGGGCTTATCTTGTGACGCAGTTAGGTGCTTTTCGTAATGTGTGTCCTATCCACTCCCACCGCTTCTTCCTGATTTCCTCCTCCACTGGAATCTGACTTGTTCTCTCCCACAGTTCGTTGTTGCTGATCGTGTCTGGCCAACGAATTCGAAGTATTTTGCGTAGACAACTGTTAATAAACACTTGTATCTTCTGGATGATGGCTTTGGTAGTTCTCGAAGTTTCCGCTCCATACAGTAGAACTGTCTTGACATTTGTATTGAAAATCCTGATTTCGGTTTTGGTTGAAAATTATTTGAAGTTCAAGATATTTTTAACTGTAGAATTGCAGCCCTTACTTTGCCGATCCGCACCGCGCCCTCACATCTGCATTGGATCCACCTTGATTGTCGATGATGCTGCCCAGATATGTAAAGGTGTTAACGTCCTCCAAGGCCTCTTACTTAGTAGTTTAGTCTAAAAAAATTGTGAAACGTTCCCAAACGGAAGTATCTGTCGTTAATTCTGTAATTCCTCCTTCACTGATCACTTGTTTTTTTATGAAAAATAATAAGATTGTAAATAACCAGTTTATTTCTACCAGATCCCTTTATTTGATCTCTATTATCACTCTTTTAGAATGTCAGTATTAGTCCAAGAGTGGGAAGAATTAAACCTGGCCAAACAATTCAAGTACTTATCACTTTCACAGCCAGTGGATTACCACGTTTTACTGAGATAAATTTAATTTGTGAGGTAAGTGATCGGAAAAAAAAATTAAAGCCAACGTTCTTGGTGCATAATTTTAATTCTGTTTTTTTGTTGTAACGCTTCGCTTAAATAATTCCCAGCTAATTCCTATTGCTTAGTGTATATACTCTGACCACAATACACTGGACAAGTTCTAAAGAGTCCAAAACACAGTGGAACAGGAAAACATTATATTCCAAATAGCAAAGTTAAATAGAAATGAGATGCCGAAGGCGAAGGCAAAAATAGCTACAACTTTAGTTTCTTTATAGTATTTTGCATGAGAAGCTTCTGGATAGTAAGTAATTCACGTGATCGACTGGATTAGATTTAGCCAATCAGCATGCAGCTAACAACACGAGAATTTTCTATCCTGTTCTCCAAGACTCGATCAGGCGCTGATTATTGGATTAGGAAATTAGCCAATCAGCACGCAGCAACGTAGTCGTCATTCTTTAATTCCATCTATGTCCCACTAACAGTTTTACACTGATGTCATTTTGACATGGGTTACGTACGATTCAATATAATTCAATCAATTGTAAATATTTCAGTCCTACAGATAATCAGTCCATGGTCGAATAATTCAGTGGTACAGCTAGATCTGACCTAGATTCGTGTTCCTTAACAAGTCCTGACCAGTATAAAATTTGGATCTAGGATTTACAGCCAAATACTTTATTTATCTATTGACATGTTTACATTGTATCAATGAAAACTCTTGAACATTGGACATGTTAAATAACTACTGACAAATACTGATTTAACATGTTAATCTTGGTAAATATTAAATATGACGTAACTGAGTTCTATTATGGGTATTAATTTTCAGAAAGAAAGAAGATCGTACACTAATCGGCATAACTGATTGAAACCATTCTGTTTTATAAGTTACGTTTTTAGGAATTGTCAAGAAACTATATGGAGATAGAGTATAAATTAGATAGTACAAGTCAACAAGTAGATGTTATGGGTTCCCCGTAAATGTTTAATTGTCTTATTTATTATTACTGAGCCTACTAATTAATCGCCTTACTTGTAGACAGTTTTCATGTACACTGTCCCTTGTAAATTGAACTGATTTGAATGGTACCTAACCTAGACACTAAATTGCAAAAGAAGTTTGTACTTTTATGATGGTTAGATGTGACTGATCTGTCGTAGCTGTTTATTCATTTAATTATTTATGTGCTCTCTTTAGTTGTAGATAATTTTATGGCTGTGAAACATGGCCAGTCAGAGTTGAGGATATTCGTAGGTTACTAGTATTCGATCATAGATGTTTAAGAAGCATTGCTCGTATATCGTGGGACACCCGAGTAAGCAATACTGTCGTTAGGAAACGAGTACTAGGTAAGGATGGCAGATCAATAGATGAAGTGGTGAAACTTCATCAGTTGAGGTGGTTGGGACATGTGTTACGAATGCCTAACCACCGACTGCCTCGACGAGCTATGTTTTGTGGTGTAGGAGTAGGTTGGAAGAAAGTTAGGGGCGGCCAGACCAAAACATGGCAGAAATCCATGAAGTCTCTGACAAGTGGACTGAGTCATGTTGGTAGATGTAGACTACCTGGTTGGGGTCCGCGAGACGAAAGTCATCGATGGTTAGAGACCTTGAACGACATGGCTCAAAGTCGTTTGTAATGGAGCAGATGTATTCATTCTTTGTGTTCTCTCAAATCCTAATATTCTGAATTCTTCATCACCTTTATCTTTCTCATCTCATCTACTACCTCTACCATTATGGGATTTGGATTGACAACTGCGTCACTGTTCTACTGTAATATGACACAACTTGAACTTATGCATTCACGTATGAAGTTCTACGTTCTAACTGACTGACTGACCCATTGCATTCACGGTAATATATATGAGGAAAAAAATGTACTTTATTAGGAATTTTCTAACTAGAACACTTCAAACAATATAACATGACATTTCTCTCCTTTATACATTTAATATTACTATCCACGCATTTAACAAGCCCTCTCATGACTGTCAACTGGCATGAATCTTGTAATTATTATTTTCAGAATACATTATTATTATTATTATTATTATTATTATTATTATTACTGGTTAGTTAATCGATGAACATGAAGAGAATAAATATTGTGAAGAATTCAAAGCTTGGCAATCGGAAATCGATCGATTGAAAGTGGAATTTACAATCACCGAGAGTGATTTAAACAAACAGAAAACAAAACCAGAGAGCATATCATTAGAATCCAGTGAAATTGATATGGAGAAATTTTGTCAAAAATGGCCAAAACCAATTCAACCTAAACCAGTCTATGTTTATTTGACAATCAATGCAGAAATAATCAATGAAGAAGCGGCGAAAATTTATGGTGTAAATAAGGATGGGAAGACTTCATTTATTGATTAGTAAGTAGGAATATCTTTTTAATACAGAGAGATGGTTTTTTAGAGAGGAGATTAAGGGAATATTATGGTTGACTGGCCAAGAAGTGTTGGACTGGTATACTACCTAAATATATTGAACTCTGTAGCTAATATGAAACTATCTTTAGATAAAACAGTCATAGGAGGAGATCAGCACAGTGAAATCATGAATCATTCATTGTTAGAACACCATTAGAAACCTAGAAGCACTAAAAAAGAGTCGTTTCGCCCTTTCATGAGAGGCATCAGCAGCACGCATCCATGGCTCCTGCCATTCACAGGATTCGAACTCGGGAACTCCGGTCTTGCGCTTGAATGCCTAACCTCTGGACCACTGAGATGACCTGCATCCAATGGTCTCGATTTCTAACTCTGGCCAATCTAGGGATTTTGCGTGGCTTCATCCATTCGTCTTCGATAGTTATTGCTTACACCCGATAGGGTTGAACTCCACTTGTCACGTCTTCTCACTAGAATTCCAAGTCCCATACTAGAATGAAACGACCATCTAGTGTTTACAGGTTTTTACTGGTGGTCTAATAATAATGATTCATTCAAGATTTTGACTTGTACAAACTATGATCTCCATAACTCTAATTGAAAATACAAGATACAGTTTAACTGTAGAAGCAGCAACTGCTAGCTCTAGGACTGGATCCAATATCCAGACATGATGGAGGAGATCACTATAAATAATCAGATTTGAAGTTTATATCGACAGAATAAAACTTTTAAATAAATATGCATGGCTGATGAGTTCCATGGAGTTCACCATGTATTTAATTTTTATATCATTTAAAATCAAGGTTTCTAGTTTTATTTTAAGAATATAAGCTCCTTTAGTAACGTACTTTTTTACTGTTACCCCCAATGGAGCATAGGCCACCGAACAGCATTCTCCAGCCTACTGTGTCATTGGCCTTTCTTCCTAGTTCTGTCCGATTTTCGTTCATTCTTCTTATGTCTATCTAGATTTCTCGGCGTAATGTGTTCCTTGACCTTGAGGATTTTAAGTGAGGGGTTGTCTTGTGACACAGTTGGATACTTTCCTCAATGACTGTTATATTCCCCTTCAGCGCTTCTCCCTAATTTCTTTCTCTGCTGGAATCTGGTTTGTTCTACCCCACACTCAGTTGTTGCTGATAGTCTCTGGTGAACAGATCCGAAGTATTTTGCGTAGACAACTGTTAATAAGCACTTCATTCGATACAGTAGAACTATTTTGACGTTCATATTAAAAATTCTGACTCTGGTGTTAGTTGATAGTTGTTTTGAGTCCCAGATGCTGTTCAAATGTAGCACTTCTGTCCTTCCTTTGAAAATCCATGCCTTCAAAGATCCACTTTGTTTATCTAATGATTCTTCTCAGATATGCGAAGGTTTTTACATTCTCCAAAGCTTCTTCAACAAAATATTCAACCATTTAGCTTAAATAAAATAACGACAAATTAATAATTCAAGGTGGATTAGTATTTTATTCAACTCATAATTAATGAGACCATGGGTTTGAATTCTGTTACGCCTGCACATAAACACGTCATTTTGATATGCTTGAACTGTTACGAGTTTACCTAGTTGGAAAACGAGAGCGAGGGCCGGGGATCCGGCCACACGACATGCTACTCAAATCCGGTTATCCCAACCCCATATTGAGTAAAAATAAGAAGACCTGAATGTGGAGTAGAATCTGTATTCTACAAGCGTCCAGAAAGTACGAAGTCCGAGTACAGAAGAGAACCAGGATCCCGGACTAGGGATCCGGGACCGGGTCCTGGTCCTGCTCCTGGTCATTAAACGTTACAGATAATGTGTATTTATACATTTTGGTCGAATAGGAAACAGCATCGAAGTCTATGACATTCACAGTTAACACGACCAATAGGAAGTAGTAACATTTGAAGTGACATTGATAGTAAGAACAACCAATAAGAAACAACATTGGAGCACGTGTCATTGATATCTAGGAATGAACCAATAGGAATTGACTAATAATTCTCTTAGGATATTGTATGAATATCCTAAAAGACACCATTTCATTTTCTTTGGTTACGCTCTCCGTATCCATGTCACTCAGGAGACAGATATGTGCCTCAGGCAATGGATGAAAGTTGCACAATATCATGCACTTATTCGAGTTAAACATTAACACCCATTGGATGCCACCGGCTGCGTGACCAAACAGATTTAGCGTTCTCATGCGAAACCGGAGATTGTTGCTTTCGATTACTGCTTGCAACGTTTTGAGAGTGCTCACTGCTAACGAAACGACTATCCAATGAGTACTTCAAGGTTTTTACTGATGATAAACTAGCTAAGATCAGTTCATGATTTCAACCATAATATGATGCCTATGCATAAGCTACAATCAATATTTTTTTCTTCTAAATTTTTTTGTTGTTATCGTTTAGTACACAATTTTTAAATTCAAATCATTCAACCGCGAAAATAATCAGTTTAAACAAAATACAAGATCATATTTGGAATTTATATCAACCATTATTCAATGATTTATTAATCAGTTTAATTAATAATTTAATATTCAGTAGTGAATTTGTACAAATTATACAAAAAGTTGTTAGTCCATGTGAAAAAAACACAATTCCTACTTCACAATTGAACAATATTGAACAACGCATCGGTGGTACTCATCATGACGGTGCCGCTGATAATGATGAGGATGATGATGGTGACGATGATCCGGTACCATTATGGATCCAAATAAAATCTGATCATTTGCATAAATTTAATGACCTCGTATTCACAACTAATCAATCAGATGATATGAATCAACCGCCAATCAATGAATTGAATAACTTGATACCGGAAATAGTCAAAGATAGAATTCATAAACAAGGTATGAAAAGTATGTATGAAGAAACTGTGGATAGTATGTGTATACAGTAAGTTGGTTATGTTTTGGTTTTTGATATGTCTGTCTACCTTTTCATTTGATGATTGTATTTATCAAGGCTTGATTGAGTTGGGCTATACGCCAACCTACAATGTCATTTATGGCGTCTAACAACTGAACGACGTGTTTACTGCGCAGCAATTCGCTCCGTCTTGCTGTATGGCTGTGAAACATGACCAGTAAGAGTAGAGGATATTCGTAGGTTACTGGTTTTTGATCATAGATGTATCCGGAACATTGCTTGTGTATCCTGGGATAACCGAGTAAGCAACTGAGTTGTTAGGAAATATGGATGCTAAGTAAGGATGACAGACAAATTGATGAAGTAATGAGTCTTCATCAGTGGATGTGGTTGGAACATGTGTTGCGTATACCCAACCACCGACTGCCTTGACGAGCGATATATTGTGGTTTAGGGTTAGTGTGGTATGGCAACATGAACTTATGTACATACGTACGAAGTTCTACGTTGCAACTGACTGACTGACTGAGGGTTAGTGTTCGGATATTCATCCAATATCCTGAGAGAATTATTGGTCGATTCCTATTGGTTCATTCCTACTGGTCAATTTTATCGTCGTCCTAGATATCAGTAACACGTGCTCCAATGTTGTTTCTTATTGGTTGTCCTGACTATCAATGTCACTTCGAATGTTACATCCTATTGGTCGTGTTAACTGTCAATGTCACAGACTTCGATGCTGTTTGCTCATCGACCAAAATGTATGAATACGCATGATCTGTAATGTTTTATGACCAGTAGCAGGACCAGGACCCGGATCTCTAGTCCGGAATCCTGATTCTCTTCTGGATGCTTGTAGAATACAGGTTCTACTTCCTATCAAGTCTTGTCTTGTTTTGTACTCTATATGGAGGTTGAGGTAATCCCAACTGCCGCATTGTTTTCTTTACCCTATATCATTTGTGAACTGTGGTCTCAATTCTAGTTGATGGTCCAAATTTTGAATTACACTATGTGTGTGAATAGGTTGTGAAAGTGTAGAAGCGACTAATACCTATCTATATTGATATCGTCCGACTACGCTGAAAAATCTCAAATCACCCTCCCAATTTGATGTTGCTCAATTAATTTCAAATAATTCCCAAAGTACTTCAACGTCGTTATACACTAACAACTCTCTACAATCTTTCTTTATTCTGTCTTTATTCTATCCTTTTTAGAAATCCAGTTATTATATCACTAATTGAAGATGCTTTAGCCGGTATGTTAAATAACATTTTAGATGAAGTCAACAATAAAGAATTTGAAATCACTACAAGACCAAGAATTATTGCGCTACCACCGACAAAATGACTCATACTTACTTGCACTACACAGAATAAAATTGAACAGAAATAAATCAGCTATAGATATATATACATGATATTGTCTTTTTATATATTATATTTAGTGAAATGTTTTGAAATAATGTATCTGTTGTAACGCTTACTTGAATAATTTCCAGCTAATTCCTATTGCTTAGTATTCTCTGACCACAATACACTCGACAAGTTCCAAAGAATCAAAAACACGGTTGAACTGGAAAAGATTATATTCCAAATAGCAAGGTTAAATGAAAATAAGAAGCCAAAGGTGATGGCGAAGGCGAAGACAAAAATAGATACAACGTTAGTTTCTTTATAGCATTTTGCATGAGAATCTTCTGGATAGAAATTCACATGATCGACTGGATTAGATTTAGCCAATCAGCATGCAGCTAACAATACGAGAATTTTCAACCTCGTTCTCCAAGAGTCGATCAGGCGCTGATTGGATAGGAAATTAGCCAATCAGCGCGTAGCAACGTAGTCATGCTTTAATTCCATCTGTCTCACTAACAGTATCATTGAATGGATTCTTTTCTGTCTGTTCGTTTCTTTTTTCGAATTATGTATGTGTAACAGCAGTTCGCGGTTAGTCAGTCAGTCAGTCAGAAGGTAACTTGTGTACTTACTAAGAGGAAGTATGTCAGCAGGGTGGAGTAGGTAGGGAGAACTGGAAGTAAGTTATAAACAAAAGAATAGGTGTTTAGTGGATTGCGTTATATCCTATATTTATGAATGTTCAAGTATGCTTTGAAGTAAATTGTTAGGATATTCATCCAATATCCTAAGAGAATTATTGCTCAATTCCTATTAGTTCATTCCTACTGGTCAATTTTATGGTCGTCCTAGTACATATCAATGTCACATGCATGCTCCAATGTTGTTTCTTATTGGTTGTCCTGACTATCAATGTCATTTCAAATGTTGCTTCCTATTGATCGTCTTAACTGTCAATGTCACAGACTTCAATGCTGTTTCTCATTCGACCAAAATGTATAAATACGCATTATCTGTAACGTTTTATGACCAGGAGCAGGACCCGGGTCCCTTATCCAGGATCCTGATTCTCTCCTGGACTCGGACCTCGTAATCGGATTTGAGTAGGATGTCGTGTCACCTGATCCCCGACCCTCGCTCTCGTTTTCCGACTAGGTAAACTTGTAATAGTTCAGTCATATCAAGTTGACGTGTTTACGTGCAGGCGTAGCATAAATCTCCCTTTCAGTTTCTGTATATCATACTTAGGCGAACCTTCCGTTTGTGCGACAGTGGTTATTAAAAACCGAATACGGATTTCGTTGGATTAGTTTATTTAAGGCTGTCGTTCGTGCGGATAAACATAAGATTATAAAGCATTTCGAGGAAAGTGAAAAAAAGTGGAGAAGGCGAGCGAGCTAATTCCGCTTCGGTTTGCTTGTATGCTTTTCACTCTCGCCGGTCTACTCCAATGAATGTATGAACGATTACATGAATTAAACTGATCCAGCCGAATCTGTATTTGGCTTAATATTACCGCTATCGCACTAACGGAATTCGCCTAAATATAATGAGCGGAAACTGAAGGGGGGAGATTTATTTCATAACATACTCAAAAGTTCGTAAATGAATAAGTCAGCGTACGATCCACTGAGTTAGTGAGCCCTACAACGAACAGTATGCAAACTACAAAGTGAACTGGTGACCTAGCAAGTTCATGAAATGATGCACTTACATTTAATAAAATTAACAATAAACCACAATCAGTGATCACGTAGACTTTAGATTCAGAAAATTAGGTAATGAAACTAACTAAAATCGGATAAAGTGAAGATTTCAGATCGTTACAACTTGATTATTGAATATGGGGACGTATATATTTAAACATTTTCATTACAAAACGAAGGTATGATTCGAACGATCATGTAGTACTTCGCATTAACGTTTATTACTATACATAGTAAATAAGAGAAGGCAAGCTGTCTATGAAGGCCGATATTATGTTCTTTTACAATTTTTCCGCTGTTCTCTCCCCATTTCTCGTGTATTGAGTTATACTACTCATTCATATTCAGTAAACAGTTTGATCTCCAGTAATTCCTGCATGTAATCATAACGCCAGCTTTGTTGTTGTATGACATGTAACAGGTGTATATATACATAAATTAACAGTCTATTGTACTTATAATTTCAGTCTTTCAACAATTGTAGCACTGATACCCTGTGTTTATACGTCCCCTGAACTCCTCCTGTTTACTCTTGATTCCGGTTTTGGTTGTTGATAAATGGTGATTAAATTACACTATGATACGTTGTAGTTATTCTTTATTTTATTGTTATAGGAAGTGTTTTGCATTGCAGATATTCGGACACGGTAACTACACCACAGACCACATGAGTTGAAGTCTATACTCATTCCATTTATGACTATTTAGTAATAATAGAACTTTTCTCAAGATAAGTCGTTGTTTGACCCAAACTTCGTTTTCATGAGTATGTCAATCGCTATGTTCGATCAATGTAACAATTGGACTGAGGCATGTTAGTAGTTGTAGACTGACTACGTGGTTAAGGTCTGCGTGATAATCCTAATCGGAGGTTAGAGACTTAGAATGACATGGCTCAAAATCGTTCGCATTGGTGCAGGTGCGCATCCATTATTGGTGTTCTCTGAAATTCTAATCTTCTGAATTCCTGATGAACCATTTTTTCTCTCTTCAAATATATTTAACTGGATTATGCTTCTAGAATGATATCTTCAACATAGTTTGCCTATAGCCTCATTTTCAACCTCATTAAGAGCTGGCACACTGACATGAACCTGCCTTTTCCATCTCTCTTGCTTTAGCTATCCACCACTCTATGTAAGCTTCTCATCGGCCCGCATCTGAACTGACTCCTCTTCTCATCATTTTCAGAGCCAGATGGGATGAGTTTCTGAGCCTATCAGTTACGTAGATAACATCGCATCTCCCTTACCTTATGGTTTACCTCGCTGGCAGATATTACTGCTGTTCCTACAGCTTTTACGATATAATTCCATGTTGCCTCGGGGCGAGCATCACTTACATGGCTGCTTAACTGTTTTTTTAGTTGTTCCTGAAGTATATTCTTAGACTTGCTAACTTTAAACATAACCCTAAGAGGTTTTCTAACAGTGCCTTTCCTACTTTTAGTAAAATGCAGACAAACACGCGCTAGCACTAGAGCATGATCTGAATACAAACATCTGCTCCCGAATAAGAGGCGACCTTCAATGGAACCTCTCTACCCGTGGCTGATAGCCATGTGTTACTGCGTTGAATAGGTTTTGGGGGGTCACCGGGTCATAAAATGTTTTTCCTTACTCTTAAAGTTAGTGTTTGCTGGAAATAAGCAGTTATCTGAGCATAATTGCAGCAGACGGTCGCCATTATCTGTTCTTTGAGTAGCGAAACCATAAGGTGCACCCATGTGACTTTCCTTTTCTCTTAGTCTACCTACTTAGGCAATAAAGTCATCAGCCATGATTACTACTTCAAGAAGCCTAACATTTTGAAGAAGGTTGGAAAGTTTTTAGTAAAATACACCTGTTACCTCGTCCGAGCTGCAGTCAGTGAGAGCGCAGGTAGAGACAACGAAGAGACCGGCAAATTTTCCAATTTTTACGTGTTCCTAATGTCCAGTTAAGTCGGATAGCGCATAAGCAACTGTCCACTGGGATCTAGTCTAAGAGATCTAGTTCAGCCTTAAAGCTCAGTGCGATACCAGCACCAACGAGGCCACGGGAAGCAACAATGGGGTTCCTAGACACATGAAGCATAAATTCAGACGGTTCTTTATCTTAACAAAGAGAGGTCAAATAAATGATTCCACTCGGATCCCGTATGTGCATTTCCAATAGGCAGCATACATTGATGGCGTGAGATTCTAATGTCCTACAGCTAAGGAATCCTATTGCCCTACTTAACACAACGTTCGAACATTTGAAGCAGTCAGTCAGATGCAATGTGGAACTTCGTACGTAAGTACATCAGCTCATGTCGCCATACCACATTAGCACAGAGATATAATTGTCAATTCAAGTCCAATAGTAGAAGAGGTAGTAAAGGTATTAGAAGTAATCAAAGAGGTTAGGATTAGAAGATATTATTCAAAACGTATGATTCAGTGAGAAAAGTTTAGAAAGTCAAAACTAGAGGGGTTGAAGAATCCAGAAGATTAGGTTTTGAGAGAACACAAAGAATAAATGCACCGGCGCCATTGTAATTGATTCTGAGCCATGTCATTCAAGGTCTCTAACCATCGATTATTATGATCTCGCGGACCCCAACCAGGTAGTCGACAACTACCGACATGACTCAGTCCACTTGTCAATGACTTCATGGATTTCTGCCATGTTTTGGTTTGGTCGCCACTAGCTTTCTTCCAACCTACTCCTACACCACAAAACATAGCTCGTCGAGGCAGTCGGTGGTTAGCCATACGTAACACATTTCCTAACCACCTCAACTGATGAAGTTTCATTACTTCATCCATTGAAGCTCAAACATGTAGTTTAGAACGGCTTTTCAAGAGACCAGGGATAACATTTCACGTACTCAAATCGTTCGCATCAGCCATGCGAGGTGATAGAGAAATATGAGAATGGTTAGTCGTGGAGACAAGAGGGTTATCAAGAGTTGTAAAAACAATTAGATTAGTATGCTGTTACGGGTATGAGGACAGATGTCACTGATTGGCTACGCATAACGAGGAATAACAACTTTTTCCATTAAACACAAGAATTCAATGGGTTGGATGGAGTAGAACATTGATAGCAGCTTTCAAATAATAATAATCAACAAAAGGATCAATGAATACACTAATTAGGTAAATGATGATTTATAATACAAAATGCTAATATAATGTGGTCAAACAAATGAATTGCGCATAATTGATAGTATTCCAACTTAGTTTCTTTTACAGCACATAATAACTACTACTATTCACAATGTCTTCTCCTCCTCTTCTAACACACAACTCTACAATGGTGTAAACCATAAATCAATTTTATTGTGCAGTAGTAGGCAAATTCAATAATGTATGTTCACCATCGGGAATATAAGTGATATTTCGACTTTTCGACAGTTGATAAGCAATATCTTCAGCAGCTTCAATTCGTCTTAACTCAATTAAACCTTCACCGGATGATCCAAATGATTTAGATAGTAATGTTGCCGCTTCTGAATCACCTTCTGCTGAGATGATAGCAGCTAATTTATGTTGTTCAGCCTTTTGTTTTTTTTTGAATAAAAAAGAGAATAAAAACAGAACAACTTGATGAAAGAATATTAAAATCATCATTTAAAAAATAGTGATCAATCTGTGAATAAACACGCAGCTATCATAAAAATGACATTTTTATCGATTACTTACTTACTTTATTTTCAATGGGCACTCGATCATTCGTCCATATCGGAGTCCAGTCGTGAGCCGCTAGACTCTGTCCTCTGTCTTCCTTTTCAGTTCTATTCCATTTTTGTTCATTCTTATGTCTGTCACCCTTTCTCGGTGTAATGTATTCCTTGGCCTTCCTCTTTTTCTTTGGCTTTAAGAAATCCAGGTAAGGGGGTTGCCTTGTGATGCAGTTGGGTGCTTTACGCAATGTGTCCTATCCACTTCTCAAACCTTTTCCTGATTTGTTCTCTCCCATAGTAGGTTGTTGTTGATGGCGTCCGGTCAAAGGATACGAAGTATTTTGCGTAGAAAACTGTTAATAAATACTTGCATCTTATGTATGACGGCTTTCGTGGTTCTCCGATTTTCTGCTTCATACAGCAGAACCGTCTTGACATTTGTATTGAAATCTGTGACTTTGGTGTTTGTTGACACTTGTTTTGAGTTCCAGATGCTGTTCAGTTGTAGAAATGCGGCTCTTGCTTTGTCGATCTGCGCCTTCGCATCTGCATAACGTCTAACGTGCATATCAATGATGTTGCTGCATTAGTTGTTGAGTGTGCGATAGAAAAGCCACATCATTTGCGAAGTCCATATCGTCCAGCTGCATCCTGGCTGTCCCCTGAATACTGTGTTTCCCTCCAGATGTTGACGTCTTCATAATACAGTCGATGACCAGGAAAAAGAGAAAGGTTGAGAGTAAGCAACCTTGCCGGACACCTGTCTTCACACTGGACGAGTCTGTCAGCTATCCTCCGTGCACGATTTTGCAGTTTAATCCATCATGAAAATTCCGTATGATGTTGACTTTCTTCTTAGGCACGCCGTAGTGTCGAAGTAGCCTCCATAGTGTTGTCCTGTCCACGCTATCAAATGCTTTCTCATAGTCAATGTAGTTGATATAGAGTGATGAGTTTCATTCATTTGATTGTTCCACGATGATCCGTCATGATGCGATTTGATCAGTACACGATCGATTTTTACCAAAATCCAACCTGTTGATCTTGAAGTTGGACGTCTACAAAGTCCTTCATTATGTTTAACAACACCCTGTTGAAAACGTTGCTTGATATTTTTATCGATAATAAGGAATAGTAAACTAGTAGATTGTGATGTGTGCTGAAACTTACTTATTCGGTTGATTCAGATAACCTAATTAAGAGAGAATGACTGTGTATGTGAGAAGTAACAGTATCTGACTTTCAATCAGTGTTACCAGTCAGTTTATCTATCCAAACTGAAATAGATGTGTTGTATATATTATAATGTCAGACAAGTTAATTCATTTGATGTTCCCAATGATGTTCACGACTGCAAATGACTAGTCTCATTTGGTAAATATACATGAATTTTGTGCGCATTGCCTCCATATATCGCCATTCGGTTAACAAGCATTATGAGCAGAGATTCATAGTGATTAGTAGTGGAGTCACAGATTGACAATAAACTCTAAGATGCAGGCATATTTAACTGACAAGTCCCTAAATGAATGGATTCCGCTGCTAGCCACTATTAAATTCTAATTATCAAACATGATGGTTTATTTTAGATTCATTCTAGAAGAGTTTACCAACTAGAAATCATGTGTTGATGTGCAAAGTTTTACACCATTTGTACGAGGATAATAATTTAAGGAGAATACATGAGGTGGTTCGTCATTGTGAACACATTGAGAGTCCTTTTGAAACCGTGAATCGATCAATGTTAGCACACCATTAGAAACCTAGAAGCACTGAACTACCGTTTCGACTTAGTATGGAACTCATCAGCGGTTCACCTCCGCGACCATCGAAAGCGGAATCGAACCCTGTGCCACCATCCAACGGTGTTAATGTCTAATTTCGATCAATTCAAGATATTGCGCGACCTCATTCACTGTTCTCGGTGGGCAACTGTCTGACACCTGACACGGTTGAACTCCATTGGTCACAGCTTCTCACTAGAACTCTGAAAATTCCCTCACAAAGCTATTCACTAGTGGAATACATGACTGATAATTAGCATTATAGGGTTGTGAAGATTGTGGAATTTCACAACCCTCTACTCTAATAAGTATTTAAACTAAATCACCCACTATCAAATCAATTACCTTTTCTACCAAATATCGTGCACGTTCAGCTTCCTGTTGAGCAACTTGTTTAGCTTCTACTGCTTCCGAGAATTCTCGACCGAAAGAGATTTGAGTCTGTGAAGAATAAATAACACAAACACACACACACAAACAAAAGCATTATTAAACAATAAAAAATAACAAAAGAAACATTTTGTCATGATTTTTATTTTATTTTATTCTATTGTTAACTTATTACTTTTACAATTCTGATCTGCCGCCGTGTATTGTTATCGTCAGTCAGTCCGTCAGTGGCAACGTAGAACTTCGTACGTAAGTACATAAGTTCATGTTGCTGCCATACCACATTAGCACAGAGACGTAAATGTCAAATCAAATCCCATAGTCATAAAGATAGTAGAGGTATTAAAAGTAGTGAAGACTAGGGTTTCAAGATATTATTCAAGAAGTATAATTCATTGAAATAAGGTTAGAAAGACAAAGGTAGAGGTGCTAACGAATCCAGAAGATTAGGATTTGAGAGAGCACAACGAATGGATGCACTTGCACCATTGCAAACGATTTTGAGCCATATCGTTCAAGGTCTCTAACCATTGTTGACTTTCGTCTCGCGGACCCCAACCTGGTAGCCTACATCTACCAACATGACTCAGTCCACTTGTCAGTGACTTCATGGATTTCCGCAATGTTTTGGTCTGGCCACCCCTAACTTTCTTCCAACCTACTCCTACACCACAAAACATAGCTCGTCAAGGCAATCGGTGGTTAGGCATTCGTAACACATGTCCCAACTACCTCAACTGATGAAGTCTCAATACTTCATCTATTGATCTGCCATCCTTACCTAGCACCCGTTTGCTAACGACAGCATTGCTTACTCGGTTGTCCCACGGTATACGAGCAATGCTTCTTAAACATCTATGATCGAATACTAGTAACCTACGAACATCTACTCTTAACGGCCATGTTTCGCATCCATATAGGAGAACGGAGCGAACTGCTGCGCAATACACCCGTCCTTTAGTCAGCAAACGGACTCCCAAGATAAGTGAAGCGGTCTACACGCTCAACTACTTCACTCCCTATCACTAGTTCAGGTGCCGATGCAACCCAATCTTGAAGCAACATTTTTATCATACTAAATTCTACGTTGTAACTGATTAACTGACTAACTGATGTCATGTACATTGATTCTGTCATATTTCATCAAGAAATTAAGTTTGCGAATTTGATCAAGATGAAGACAGTTACACTTCTTGACAATCAGAACAAATAAATAAACAACACATTAGCTTGCTATCACACAGTCGATCGATCAGTCAAATCTCTTGAATAAAGTTTGTATATAGTTGATTTTGTGAGTTCCTGAGTTGTCGCTATCATAGTTGAGGATTAGGTCTATGTAGGTTGGCTTTCAATATACTTGAGTCTCCAATTTTCCACTGTCAGTTCTGGTGACTAATTCGTCCAGGATTTCATTTATCATAGCAAATTTCATGTCATCAAAGATGTTGTTGATCAGATTGTAAGTGTTATCCAACTTGTCCCTATTGATAATGACGAATGCGTCGTCAACATAACGACAGAACAAGCTGAGAGTCATGAGTAGAGAAACTCGAATACTTCACTTCTCCTAATTGAAGTTTGTGCTAATGATATTGTTCAGCAGAAGAACAATCAAAGCTCTACAACCAAAAAATACATCCAGAGCTCAAAGAACGAAACTCCACCACGGATGTCAGTCATAAAGCCATGAAGCTTTCGATTATCGGGGTCTGAGCAAACCCGGAAAATTTACAGGTTCTCACAAGCTGAAACCCGTATAATCCTAGTAACAGGTGATGTCGCGTGAAATCTCTGTTGAAGTAATACAGATGCACAGATTCTTCTTTAAAATTGTGGATTTCTTTAGTCCTCCTACTTATTTCTTTCTAATGGTTTTTTTTTCATGCGCAGATTCCTATTGCACTTTATGTATATATCCTCTACTTTACTTTATCGTTTCATTGGATTCCTTCTCTAGCTTTGCTGATTCGAGAGATGTGGCAAATGGGAATTGTATACTTTTGTGACAGTTCTTTGATTGATTGATAGTCAGTCAGTCAGATGCAACGTAGAACTTCGTACGTAAAAGTACATCAGTTCATGTTGCCATACCACATCAGCACAGAGATATAATTGTCAATTCAAATACAATGGTAGAAGAGGTAGTAAAGGTATTAGCTGCGACCTTGACGTGGTGGTCGTGCTTGACCATCGTGATGACCCAACCGAGCTATATTGGCTGGAACTTATGTTCCTGAAGGTTCTACCATGACAGGCAGGTCGGTTGGAGAACGATGAGACTAAAAGCAGCTACCCAAGGTCTGAGGGCGAAGTCGTACTGCTAACTGACTGTAGAGGGGTGTGACAGCAGTAAGGTGTTTCCCTCGGACAACCAGCATCTGCAGCGATGCTGACTTCTCAGAAGGAAGGAAGGGTTAGAATAGGTCGACCCTAAAAAAGTCACACCTCACCCTACCTCACGGATTTCCGTCTCCGTCGGTAAGAGTGTCCACTAAGGGCCTTTAAGAGCGGAGCTAATACTAAAAAGCACCCTTCATAATGATGCCGTGCGTGACCGGCCTCAAGCAGTTGTCCCTTGGGCTCTGCGTTCACGCACCCAGGTCTCTAAGACCAACGCTAATCTACCTTCCTTTTCAGGTCCTTCAAGAAACATCCTTCCACGGTGTGGGCAGCCGGGAAGTGACAACCGCCCTCATACCCGATTGATTGATAACTGATCGGCTTTACAATAGCGACATTTTAAAGAGGTGCCATTCGTAGAAAGGACCTATATAGTCAGTAAAATGTTTGAGATTAAGAAAAGTGATGATCTGACTATAAGTTGAACTTGTGTTGTTTGAAATAATCAGAACGACCCCCGAAAACTTTCATCAGTTGAGATGGTTGAAACATATGTTACGTCTGCCCAACAACCGACAGCTCCGATGACTTATGTTTCGTGGTGTATGAGTGGGTTGAAAGAAAGCTAGGGGTGGCCAAACCAAAACATGGCACAAATCCATTAAGTCACTGACAAGTGGATTGAGTTATGTTGGTAGGTGTTGACTACCTGGTTAGAGACCCTAAATGACATGGCTAACAATCGTTTGCAATGGAGCAGGTGTTCTCCAAAACTCTAGTCTGAATTCCTCATGAACTTCGGATTCTTCTTATCCAATTTATTACACTAGATTATATACCTTGAATATCATCTACAAATCCTAATCTTTCTGATTACTACTCATGCTTCTATTACCTCCAATACTATGAGATTTTTTAATTGACAATTCGAACTCTCTGTGCTAATGTCGTATGACAACTTGAACTGATGTATGTACGTACCAAGTTCTACGTTGTTGGTGACTGACTCATCTGGCCATGCGTATACAGCCACTGTCAGGGAATTCCTGATTACCACAAGGATGTTGTTTACGAAAATGAGGACGAAAAGAAACTTTCCGGGCTGGTGGACATGGGGTTTCTACACACGGGGGTTGGAAAACCTTTGTTTTTTAACCTATCGTGCACATGCGCTACAGGATCCTGACGGAACAAATGGGTCATGAGCCTACCAGCTACCACGGGACCGCATCTTATGGATTAGATTTTTAGGCCAAAGACTCGTGGTGTAGCCACGCCTAAGGAAACCGTCTGTTTTGGTTTGGGCACCTAGACAGTATCCCAACGCACTCACAAATCCAACAATGTGTGGTGCATAAATATTTAGGTACCCCTTTGTACTAATGTTTGTTTAAATAAAATGAAAATAAACTTAATTAGACAGTAAAAGCATGAAACCCTAGAAATAATAAGAAAATTATTTACCAAATAAATACAATTTCACTTACTAGAGCAATATCGTCTAGCAATATACCGAATGATGAAGCTCGTTCTGTAAGATCTTCATTCACTCTGTGACTAACCAATTCTCGTTGAGTTATAAGTTCACTTGCATCGAATTGAGCAACCACAGCTTTCAGTACCTCAGTGGTAATAGAAGGAAGTACACGTTCTTCATAGTCAAAACCTAAGTTCTGATAAATCTTTGGTAGAACAGATGGTTCAGGACGGAATAATATGCGCAACGTTATATTCACTGTTTGTAGATCTATAACCGGTAAAAATGAAAATACAAATAACACTCATACAAATAAATGACGCTTAAATTGGATAAAGCATTATAGATTAAGAAAGCTATCGTACAACATAGTTGAGGTGTAGTTTTCCCCACCAACGTATAACAAGAGGATAATTCAATCGATTTAGTTAATGAGGCACTGAAATGGTTTACTACCAATCGTGTGTTGATGTATTAAGAATGATTGCCGGAGTTGAGAGTGAAGTGAGCGCTACACAGATTGTTTATGATCGAGAAGAGTAAATTAACAACTGGTTTTTACCTCATTTGACCCACATGATTGATTTCATGAGAACATTATAATGGTGATTGTTTAATAACCTGATATCAAGTTTAATAATCTTGATGAACTATCAGGGTCATTATAGAAAACGTTTTTCTTGGACCTACTGTAGAAATATAAATCGAAGCCATGCAATGACAACTAATTTTTCAGTCAGTCAGTTACAACGTAGAACTTCGTACATGAGTATATAAGTTCAGATTGCCATACCGCATTAGCACAGAGACGAGACTATCAGTTCAAAGCTCATAGTTGCAGAGATAGTAGAAGTATGAACAGTGATCGGAAATATTACGGTTCGAAGATATGATTTGAGAAGTATAATTCAGTGAGATAGTTTTAGAAAGCGAAAGATAGAGATGAGGAATTCTGAAGATTAGAATTTGAGAGCACACAATGAATGAATGCACCTGTGCCATTACAAACGACTTTGAGCCATGTTGATCAAGGTCCACCAACATGACTCAGTCCACTTGTCAGTGACTTCATGGATTTCTGCCATGTTTTGGTTTGGCCGCCTAACTTTCTTCCAACCTACTCCTACACCACAAAACAGCTCGTCGAGGCAGTCGGTGGTTAGGCATACGTAACACATGTTTCAACCACCTCAACTGATGAAGTTTCACTACTTCATCTATTGATCTGCCATCCTTACCTAGTATCCATTTCTTAGCAACTGAATTGCTGATTGGGAGTGATGATCACCAAAAAGTTGGCTGAGGGATTGAACAGTGGTATCGAAGGAACGGTCCGGTGGGTTCTGAGGTAGAATGAAGTAGCAATACTTGTGCAGCTCCGACGGACCAAGTTTCCGATGGAGAAGTCCCACCTTCCTGGAATCATGTCAGCGAAATCAACTTTGAAAAGGTCTTCATAACGCCCGAACCAGGTATCAAATATAATATTGGCGTCAGGACCATAAAGAAACTCTGAAATACTACTGGTAATACCATCGACTGATGAGGGATTGTTGGTGTAGATGCGACTCGACTAACTACAGATCCAGCAAAATTAGAAAAATTGTTCAAACAACGGCTGAAGCTGATGGAGATGCTTACACAGGTGCACATCTCTTTTCGAGTCTCGTTTACCATGGAGACGAAACCCGTGGGGTTTTAGTACCTCCCCATTTATTAATTATACTAACTTTAATGATTAGTCGTCTAAATTATTCGATAATAGTATCGACTGTCTTTCAAATTTTTAATCATTCGGTAACTACCAACTATTGTATGTTTGGATGTGTGCATGCTTACCCGCTTATTACATGTCTAGTCTACTATTGCCTGACTAAAAATGCTTAGTCATGCTTTAGTGCCTGATTTGGCTCACTCACCTCCACTTTGCTTTTACGCTTTCCGTTTTCATGTATCTGCATAAATAAATGCATGAAACAAATTAATTCCTAAAACCACCGTCGCATAAACGGGGTTTGCCTAAGTATAATATACGGAAATGGAAAGGAATATTTACTTCATCTCATACTCGACCACAATGTCAAGGTAGCAGCTACGGTAGGGACCGGCTGGTATAGAAGTAGGTTGTCAGAAAGCTAAGATAAAGCAACGTACACCCAGATGCATTCAGTTAGCGACCAGTGGTAGATGCTCTCATCAGCGGAGTAGATACAATGACAAAAGTTCCTTGATATTTCAAAACTACATCTAAGCCTTTCAGTAGTAGATGAAACATTTTGGATCTAAAATGACTTACAATCAAGCAGCATCCAGTCGCAACATACTTGTTAGTCTCAAAAGTGATGAAATCCCAGAGGTATTATAATACCCATAGTAACCAAACTAAAGTCTATCTTGTTTCTAGCTAAGCATTAGGTTAATAAATGTGCGACCGATGTCAAGACTCTTAGAACCCAAATACTGCAAATATTATACGAGTAAACTAGACCCAGAAACAGACAAGCTTGGTGTGAAAAAATTTATCGTGAAGAATGTACTTCAAGAGCAAAATATCTACAAAAAAGCCGAGTCCCTTTTAAGAAATCTCACTCAAAGACAAAGACAGTTTCTGCAATATTATTTTAAACACAATAATGAATTTTAAAACACTAATACTAACCTTTAGAACCAGTCATAACAGGTATATTTCTTGGTCTTGATCGGATATCAAAAATGATAGGCTTCTGAACCCATGGAATGATAAAGTGTGTCCCTTCTCCTCTTACGTCGGGTCTGACGCCTTTAAACCGATCAAATATTACAGCACGATGTCCACCATCAACTGATATAGGGATATACTTTAGAATTTGTTTCATTACCATTGTAAAGGACCAGCGGGAGTATACTGCCTGCAGCAACCAAACCGACACCAGCTCTCGTCAAATTATTGAAGAAAGTCGATGACATAATATTATATTTACTGCAAGTGGGTAGCCACCTAATTCAACTTTCGCACTATCACCTCCTGGGAAAAGGGATCAGTTATTCAATTTCCAATGTGAAATCAATTTGAAGTATATCAGGCATTTTCATTCATTTGTTCAGAAAGTGTTGCATATAAGCGAGTAATTTTAATATACATTCTAAAAAGGCATATTAACTTCTAACGAAGACTCTAAACGATAACAAACACTGGTACCGGTTGACTCCTCGTCACTTATAGCTTACTTGAACAGTTTCCAATGTATTAACCTTCATAAACTCACTCAGTTTCAGGAAGAGAACACAGATTTTCATCACGAGCAATCACTGACAATTGTGGGTCCACAAATCAAACAGAGAAAAAGAGAAATAAACTTTACCTTGTGACACGTTTCACAAGTAGGAATTGTTCAATGGAGCTGAAATATTATCAGAGCAATATCTTCAGTATGTTGCACGAACATTTTGATCCAGGTACCTAGCGCAACCATCAAGCTGGCAACAGAACGATTTTGTTGGCATGACATAAATAAAGACGTGAAGAAATGAACATACTCCTACGAAAGCTTGTGGTGGCCAATTTCTACCTGTTCTTAAGCTCGTCTAGGTAATGGTCACCAAATAGCCCCTGACGGCTATAAATCAGGAGGCGAATGTGAAGTATTGAATTCGTTTATTTTTAGCACACCACAAGATGGGACAACGGAACACAAGCAGACAAGGCAAGCACCCTAGCGACCGAATTGGTGGATGTGCGAATGAATTAATAAGATTAAAATGTTCACGTATATGGATAGTATGATGTCTGATTCATCGTGATATTTAAGATTAATATTAAAGCGAAAAGGATGAGTAAGCGCGCGGGCGTAAGCTATGCTCAGTCGTACCAGCTCATACAAACCAGACAATAATAAACAAAACAATGGTACATATAAGTTTTTTGCTGTAAAAAGAGCTTGGTTAAGTAAGTTAATCGAAACTAAGAATGAGCGAACTCAAGTGTATGCGGAAGCACTACAATCTGACAGAAATCTGAGGCGAACAAACAATAAATGCTCCTTAATCACATCCGTAACTCATGCTGCTCAATTCGATTCAGTTTTTCTTTCATAGGACCCTTATCAGGTTCACATTAATACTCCTTTCTCTTAACATATCTGGCTAACTAACGAAACCACCTCTAAAACTGAGGCTAATGCCTTCGCTGGAGGATGAGCAGTGAGCTTTGGCTGCCCTTCAGTCATGAATAGTGATTGCGGATACCAGTATGAATCCTTACTTTTTCACTGTCTTATTGTTATCATGCTAATCATGTGATTCCTATAGACTGTCTAAAACCCCTAAGCTAACTGTTTGGTAGAACAACAGTTGAAAGCCCCACCTCCATCTACAAACGCATTACTGTTGACTGACACTCACTCCTGTTGCTCGGGACCAGTAATGCAGAGAAAGTCAACGTTGGATGAACGCGTTTACGACATGAAATTCAGACCTCCATAAGAATGCATGGGCTTACAGATGCAGTGAATTCAGTTAAGTCTGTTTACACTGGATCAGAAGTAACTGGTTTTTTCACTCAACAAGCTCTATAGAAGAACTGTGTGATTTATGGAGCATATGAACTATTATATGCTGATCAAATATTTATTAGCTTATTATTTTTAAACTTATTACCTGTATTTTACAACTATCTGAATGAATTTCCAGTCATCATCGTGTCATAAAATACAATAATTTTGCTGAACACACATATCCGTCTACTGGTGCCCACATCCATATTGCGGCTCTGTTCATCATCGTGTCTGGAGTTATCCATTATTATTTGGAGTTGGTGAGAATATCTAACCAAAGTATGTACTATAATTATTTTTATCATTCCTACTTAGGCGGGCGTAATTCACGTCGTGTCAAAATCATTGAACCAGTATATCGAACTTATGATGCAAAAAAGTTCTAGTTTCTCCGTTCGTTTATTGGTTCTGGTTTGGCAGCTACACCGTTTATCATTCTTACTCTGAATATGGATGTTCCAACCGTGACAACACCCAAGCTGAAAGTGTCCAGTTACATATCCGTGTCCCGCTACTTATCCCTTGGCGGCAACTAGCATGCTAAGATAACTTGGTTCTGCACATACTAAACTAAATGCCTTCAAGTTTCCTCTGTTCCTGGCCTTCTGTTTTACCGGATGTGGAACACTGCATTTTCAGACAAATAAAAGAATAATGTAAGAGAATAATGTATTTAAAAAGAGAAGTGGCAACATGGAGTGACCAAGCTTGACTAAATGAATCTACCAGCGCCATTTCCGATATTCTCCATCAGTCAAACGTTGAAAGTGCATGTTCAGATTTGGCGACAGTGTGGTTGGAAATGAAGGTCTCAGAACATGTAACAGTAGAGTTAGGAATTTATCGAGGAAGGGAACTGGTGCACCGTAAACTACAAAATCTAATAAAGGTAGCCTGACTGAAATGTGACTGACTTTTATGTTTTTAAAGCAAGTTTAAACTATGGCCAACATTCATTGATACATTATACTTTATTTTAATGAACCAGTGAATGTTATATGTCACAGATATTCAGTACTGTCTTTAATGCCCTTGTAACTGACTATCCTGAAATCAGTCAAACAATAAATCATGAATGATGGAGATCAGAGACAATAATCTAAATATATTGAGCTACATCAAGAGAATATATAATCGCCTCACTGCATAACATACCTGTTTTCCGATGACTTAAACTGACATAATTGAAGTAGAAAGTGGAGAAAATTTGTAGCTGGTTGTGTTTCTCTGAGCTCAGACAACGAAACATTACCCCGATTTAAAAAGTGTATTGCATGAACTTATTTGTGCAAATGACTGATATAAGCATTTAATATCAGAACTCAGTATTGAAAAATACCGGACAAAGCCCCTTTTTTGCACTGTCAACTTCAATGAAC